AGTTCAACAGAAGTTGTGAACAGACCATTATCAGAGCTTTACTTCTTGAAGTTTACTACCAGCCTAGCCTACTTTAAAAAAAAACTCGGAAGCTAAACTATCTTTACAACTTGCCTCTGCAAACTCTAAACAGCTCAACACTCTGCATGTCCACTTTATTATCCTATCCATGAAATCAGACATGGTCTTCTGTTTTCAAAAATCCTCCCTTACTTCTGTTATATAAACTAAAATTACTTTATCATCTTCTACAAAGCCTTTTACAAACCTATCTGCTTTCTTTTTATAATAAGAGAACTATAACAGAGGGAAAAGAATTTTCAAGTAGAAATAACATTAAAGCTATTAATTTTTCTTCTTGAAAGGAAAACTATAAGCCCAGAAATACAGAATAATTACATAGCCTCTGAGGAGATGCAGAAAGAACTTTGTCCAGAGGGGGGAAGACAAGAGCACCAAACAACAAACTTCAAAGATATAAATCATCACTATATGGGGAAAGGTCATAAACTCTCCTACTCAGGAAATGACAGGAAGTACAGGAAAAAGAAACAATGGAAACTGTTTAACAAGGGAGAGTTCAGCATCAGGGAAAAAATAATTGAGAATTAAGTACTTGGACAGATTATTTAGTGAAACACTTTATAAAAACAAAAGAGATAAGCAGTTATCAGAAGTCAGCTAAACTCAGTTGTCTCTCTTTCAGCAAAATTTATCTCCAGGATATTCTGATAAGAGCCAAAACACCATTAATAGCACACTGCTGTTAAGACCGTTGCTGAGTGATGGGAACATATCCAGAAGCAGACCGATCTGTGGGAGAAGAGCCACTGCCTCTATGGTGTGGAATCAAGGGTGGGATGGGGACAGGACAAGTGCCTGAATTAAGCCCAGGGAAGTGGCATAGTATTGTTGCTGTGAATTGGTTGGTAGGTGACGATAATTGCAAGTTTATTTAAATTTTTCCTCTTCTGTCTCAGTAAGCTCTCTTCTTTTCTTTTCTTTTCTTTTCTTTTCTTTTCTTTTCTTTTCTTTTCTTTTCTTTTCTTTTCTTTTCTTTTCTTTTCTTTTCTTTTCTTTTCTTTTCTTTTCTTTTCTAATCTCAGTCTCTAGGTAGCGTTTTGTTTTGAACTCTTGGAGGGGTGTGTGGGAATGATTGTATAGCTGAGTGGTGCTGAGCTGCTGCCAGGTTAAACTACAACACAAGGTTTTCCAGCAGTGGAGCCACAGACACCACATTTCCAGGAGATGAATGGCCCATCTGGGAGGCTTGCACCTGAAAGTCATATCACAGCTGCAAACATTCCCTAGACAAGATGATCCAAGAGCATTTGAACCTCAATATTTTGGCTGAGGTACAACAGGCCAGTGTATGCTCCGCGACTGCTGATTTTAGGCTACACTCATCCACATTTTGTATTATGCTTTATTTGCTCCTAATTAACTGATCCTCAGTAATTGATGTAAGTAATCAAAATACAAATTTAGACTGCTGTTAACATGCATGACGTCTGTAAGATAAAATAACTTGTCTAGTCATACTTCCTCGATATCAGTATGCAGTTATAAAAATAACTGTAATTTATGTTATTTCTATGATGGTCACTGTTTTCTTCCTTTGCTTTATCACTTTTTCCTTCCTCATAAAAAAAAAAAAAAAAAAAAAAACCCAACACAAACAAACAAAAAAAAAACAAACTCAGCACATTCCAGAAAAAAATGCTTCAAAATATTTTCCATGGAATAATACTTCAATTTTCTGTAAATCTTAAATCTCTTTCTTCATGTTCTCTACCACAGTCAAGTGCGAGATTTGACTTAAATATGCAACAGAAACTTACTGAAGCAGAAAGGCTGGCAAAAAATTTTTCTCGTCTCCCCCACCCTGCAGACTAATGAACTCCAAAAACTTTATATTTGATATTTGGGGCCTGACCAGTCTGTCAGTCTGTATGAAGGTGAAAGAGTTCCTTCTGAAGAAACTGAAGTTTCTTCTTTCTTCATCAACCTAGAAGGAAGTCTTTGTCTTCATCTCCTCTTCATACACCTGTCAGCTGCTATTGTATGAAATCTATTTTCTGGTAGAGAAAAGAAATTTCATAGAATCAAAGAATCATAGAATTGCTCCGGTTGGAAAACACCTTAAAGATCACCAAGTCCAACCACAACCTAACCATACTTCCCTAACTCTAACAACCCACTGCTAAATCATGTCCTTGAGTACCACATCCAAATGGCTTTTAAACACATCCAGGGATGTGACTAAACCACCTCCCCAGGGAGCCTATTTCAGTGCTTAACAACCCTTTCTGTAGAGATTTACCCTGGCACAGCTTGAGGCCAGTTCCCCTGGTCCTGTCACCAGTGAGAAGAGACCAACCCCGCTCTCACTGTAAACACCTTTCAAATATTGGAAGAGAGCAATAAGGTCTCCCCTCAGCCTCCTTTTCCCCAGACTAAACAACCCCTGTTCCTTCAGTCTCTCCTTGTAAGGCTTATTTTCTAAGCCCTTCACAAACCTTGTTGCCTTCTTTGGACCTACTCCAGCACCTCAATGTCCCTTCTGTATTGAGCTGCCCAAAACTGAACACTGTACTCAAGGTGGGGCCTCACCAGTGCCGAGTACAGGGGCAGGATGACTTCTGTAGTCCTGCTCACCACACCATTCCTGATACAAGCCAGCATGCCGTTGGCCTTCTTAGCCACCTGGGCACACTGCTAGCTCATATTCAGCTGACTGTCCATCCGTACACCAAGGTCCCATTCATAATTAACAGCATGGAAGGAGATAGAGCAAATGTTCATATGGACTGTTACTAAAGAAATCTTTTAACTGAAAAATGATTTAAAAATCTGTATGCCTCAGTTTTTTCCTGAGCAGTTACACACAGTAGTTCTCAGAGAGTGAAAGATGCTCTGTGAATTGCTTCAAGAAACGACTTCAGTCTGAAATAGTTTCCTGATTTCTTTGTTATGAAGAGCTTCTAAATCTATCACAGCCCTTCCAGGCATAGTCTGGGCATTATGCAGGTTTTTCTTCTTTGATGTCTTTTTGGGGTTGAACTTGTAATTGTCTGGGAAGAGGAGCTGGTTTGCCTTAGGCTCAGCCATCAATCAGCACAGTTTACCTGCTTTTCAAGACTGTTTTCTACTGAAGATACCACCTTACTTAGCCTGAACTTGTGTTAGGCATGCAACTTTGCTCCATTTGTACAGAACTGTCTGTTTTAGGGAGAAAGAGACTGAAGCAAACCTAGGATCCATACCTAAAGCTATCCATATTTAGGCAGCTTGGCACCTGCTCTCTAGTAATGAGCCTGAAAAAAGCTACACAGGTGACATTCATGTTTATGATATATGGCTCAGATTTTCAGGGCAAGTTCAGTTCATTTCGTTTGCACAGTGTAGGCTTACTGCTATCCACACAAGCTGTATGAAGCTGGGACCAGGGCCCCAGGGCTAGATTGGCCCCACTGTAACCTACAGGTTAGGGCAATCTCTGTCAGGGTTTTCTACTTTAAACCTACTCCAGGCACCTATATGTTTGAGGAAAAAGTGCCCAACCTGGACTTTTCAGACAGGAAGACTGTATTACACTTACTAGTGTCAATATCTCGTGGAGTTATCTAACACAGAATAACCAGGTGTTCTTTTGCATCATTAACCAAACACTAGATAATTCTTCGTTAATATATACACATACTAGAGACAGAGAAAACTTGCAAATTTGCAGAGTTGAACCTTGCCATTCCCGTCTCTGCAACTAATGAAAGTTAAGAGGATGGAAGAGAAAGTGAAAAATAATTAAGAAGCAGTGTGTAAAACCATCAGTTTGACAGACACCTGTGAAAGGAACCAACAGTCTCCAGCCAGATTTCTGTGGACTAACCAGAATCTCTGTAGTGAGTTAGAAAATTCTACCCTGCACAAAGGTCCTATGATTTCTGGACATAGGAAAAGTGAAAGGTTAGTCTTTCATTCCCAGCTTACGCAACAGGTCAGGCTCTTCTCCCTCCCAGGCAAACCACACATCCTCTAATTCCCACACCTGAACTACACGATGTTGTTACAAAATCTGATACTTGTAAAAATGTTTTCAGCTATTGATATCATGACTCACAGGATTGCAAAACTGGTCAATTTATCTGAGATATCTGTAGATAGCTGGAAAGCCTTGGGTAAAACTTTAGATTTGAGTCACAGCCAGTTCCCAACTACAGGACTACGCAAGGCAGCATCCTCTGCAGCCAACGCCTCCAGCTAACATCTCTAAACATTCACCTAAGTGGGCACAGTGTCCATCAGGGCATACTTTTGTAGATGCTGTTCTTATCACTGCAGGTACAGAGTATTGTTAACTTCTCTGAATTTCTATATATATATGATGCCATGTGAATTCAAGCTCAATTTGGGCTCCTGCCCACATTTTTAGTAATCTTGCCCATTTTCTTGGCAGCAACACAGTCTATCAAACTCAAGTCTGTTCTGAAAATCTTCCATGAAGAATATGTTTTCTTTGCTATTTTATGTGAGACACTGTCACCACATTCTCAGTAATTCATCACATATCATATCCATACTTTCAATCAACCCTTTCTGCCACTTTTTGGGACACACTACAGACATCAGTTTGCAGCCATTTCAAGAAGCCTTTGGCTGTTCATGGAACATACACAGCATATTCAACATAAGTTCCAGGGTGATTCCCTGTCCCAGAATCCAGGTGGATGGAGCACTGTGCAGATCACACCACGTGCAGAAGTGGCTCCTGTTTGACAGTCCTGTACAAACCTCTGCTCACTGCAGAACTATACAGCAAGGGACCACTGGAAGTTGTTTGGTTGAATGCCTTGCTCAAAGCTATGCCCCTTCTCAGAGCTTCTTCGTGACCTTTTCCAGCTGAGTTTTGAATATTCCCACAGATGGAGATTCCACTGCCAAGAATGGCATTCCTGTGGCCATTTCACCTACAATGATATCAAATGAGAACACACACAGACTATTTTCAAAATTGACTTTATATAACACTTTCATTGCTTGTGGTAGCAATTAAAAGCAGCATATGAATAATTAACATGTCTGGGATTAAACATTAAGCTTTTGGAACTGAAATAATTCAAGTATTCATTGTAATTCTAGTCAATGTATGAAAGCGCACAAAAAGCAATGGAAAATAAAGGAAAACAATTCATAGAATATTCTTGTCTTCTGTGACTCTTTAGCTGAATAAAAATAGCTTTCATGCAAAGAAGTCCTTCCTTTTTATCTTATTTCTAGCTTCCTTTATTTAAATCCCCTTTCCTACTTTTCTACTCTGCTACATTTTTTTCTAATTAAATTTCACATCTTCAGTAAAGTAATTATAATGCAGACAGCTTTTAGTGGCACAATCAATTCTATTTTAGTTTTAATCCAACAAGAATGAACAGCTTTAATGTTATGCAATTTAAATGTAGGGAAATAATCAGCCAGAAGCAAGTCAGTCTCTTCTTTCCCAGACATTTGTTATTTTTGCAATGTATGGAGATTGCATATTTCTGTTTTCCCATTTCCTATTAAAAATTTGTTGTAAACAGATTTCACTCTGAATAGATCCTAAATGTTGCTTGTTTTTAAGTGCAACATTAAGTCACAGTACACATACACATTATACGCTTGTTTTCAGACAGGAAGCTAACAGCCATCCCCATCACATATTGTAGTATCGCTAGGAGAAAAGGCAGCTGTTCCCACTGTCTGGTAATAAAAAACAATTTTCTTGCAAGATGGGGTGCAGGAGATATCTTTGGGAGGTTGGGGAATGTGCAATCAATCCTCATTATTATTCCACTTGCCTCTTTGTGGCTGATTCCTCTCCCTTTTTCTCCCCACTGATCACAGGAATCACATGCTCAATATACCCTCTTTCCTCCTTGTTTGTCATGCTCTCTCCACACCCAGCAGGTAGATCCAAACTGGCCAGATCCAGCAGGTGGATTTACTGAAACTTTTTCCTCAAATCAAGCATGTAACAGGACACTAAAGGGTTTTCTTCATTCTCTACCAGGTTGCCTACAAACAAATCTCTCCACTGTCCATGGTATCTGCAGAGAAACTGATTGCCTTTAAGCTTTCTCTCTATGAGTTCTTAGATTGCAAGCAGTTTTCTCTATACCTCTCTATGGGAGATTTTTCTCTTCCATTACCCCAGAGGCTTCTCCACAAGAGAAAGCTGGATATGTCAGATAAGGACACAACAAAGGAGAGACAGTAGGAACTTTAGCTTTTCCTGTGTCCAGATTCAGTGACATCACAACTTCATGTTTATGGAGCAGTTCAAACCTTTCCTGTTGACCACAGAAATTCTGGCTCTTGCCCACTGGAATCTGGCCTGAAAGCATCAGTTCATTTCACAGTTCTTTATCTATTGTAACTGACTTTATAAACCAAAGTTTCTTGTAAAGTTCATTTTCACTGACACAGAATCAATCTGGGAGGAAATGCAGATCGTAACCAGCATCTTAGAACAAGTTTGATTTATTTTTCACCAAGAAGTTACGAATAGCAGATTACTGGTGACCCCTTCATTTCAGCAATTCAATCACAGATGGTCCCTCACAGCTGCATGGTTGAAGTTATATTTGGCAACTAATCCCAACCATAGTCTCAGATGCAGAGGCCATACTGGGGCTTCTCAGAAAGTGCCTGGAACATCCTTTAGAGGATCACAGTCTTCATTATCAGGTGCCACTCCATGATCAGGTACCATTCACTGCTGTCTTGGGTGTGGTCCAGGTTTTACAATCCACTGCTGGTTCCTGTGTGTACTCATGGCCTTCTACAGTCACAGCGTACTCTTAGTGTCATGAGTTCATCAGTTCTTACAAATGCAACAGGACTATTACCTTATGAAGCTTATCAAACTCTGTAAATTGTCACAATCTAATTTCTTATTAGATATATTTTCTGGTTTTGGATTATTGATTTCTGGTAACCATTTCTCTAGGTAGAAATATCAAAAGAACTGAAGATGAAGAAGATATAGCCAGTGAAGTCAGAAGGGAAAAACAGGTGTTAATATTAGAAAGTATGGAGAGGAGACATGTTAAGAGCTATTAAATACGTAAGAAACTTATTCAGAAACTGTTAGGGCAGTACACTAAGTGAATAGTCTTAAATTACAAGAATATCAGATATTTATTAGGGTAAACTTTCAGGAATAAAGAATAATGAGACATACTGTTTCGTGGGATGGTAGAGACAAATCATTACTGGAGTTTAAGAACATGTTAGATTGGGAAAATTAGATGCTTATTTCTGTAGAACTACAAGAATCCTGCTCCTTTTTTCTGTTACTTTAACTTTTATGATAAATTGCTCTATTTAAGAAGACACAAACTTTTACTTACAACCAGCCATTTAATGATTATTTAGTGAATCAAAGTAGTACAAAAATATTTACATATATTTCATATACAACTAAAATATTTTAACTTAAACATGATTAAAGTTTATCAAAAGATTGAAATATCAAAAAAAAACCCAAACAAATTAAATAAAGACCTTCTTGAAACTAGGAGCTTCAAGTCATTTGATTGTTTACATTTAGCATAAGATCCATGGGAAAAGTTAAAAAAAAAAAAAAAAAAAAAAAAAAAAAAAAAAAAGAGTATATGGGAATATTGTATATTTTCAGACTCTCTGAAAGCAGACAGTACACTTCTATGAAATGTAGGCTTGGTCATGAAGTCTTGAACAAATCTCACAGAATTGAAAGACTTTGAGAGGGAGAATTTGGTTTGAAATTATGAAAGCCTTCCTAATAACAAGCTTCAGACTTTGAAGAAATGGACTAAAAAGATATAAAATCTTCACTGGTATTAGTAATTTCAATGAGAAATTTTAAATTTTTTCATCTATGAATTTAGTATAATGAATCCTGTCTGTTCTCCTTTCATGGAAACCTTTGAAATTCCTGTTATGTTATTTAAAAGAGAAAATGTTTCTATTCACAATATATTCATACTTAGCTGACCTTTCAATCCTCATATTAGTCATATGAAGAGGAAAATGTGTTAATTCAGGAACGACAGACATTTTACAAATGACCGGTAAAGTAAGATTAAATAACACTTTATTTGAGGAAATACTCTGAAGCATTGTATCACTCCTGTATTACAGATATGTGCTGTACAAATCCCACTATGAGAATATGTAATAGCTGCATTTTGGAGGTTTCTGACCTGAATTTACACAGTGGTGACTGAAAGGAAGATCAAGTCCAGATGTGGTAATTGAAATGCCGAGGATCCCAGAATAGCTTTTGTATCTTCAAGAAAAACCTCCTTAAAGCTCAAGAACAGCCTGTCCCAATGTACAAGGCACAAAGTAGGCAGGGAAAAAAGCAAGCCTGTCTTTATAGGAAATTTCTGATTGAGATGAAACTCAAAGGATAGTGTATGGAAGGTGAAAAAGGCATGAGCTACTCAGCCACACAAACATGGACATGTCCTGGGCACACCAAGACAGGCTGAGGAAAATGAAAACTCAGCTGGGGTTGAGACTAGCCAGGAAGGGCAACACAAAGGGTTTCTGTATTTACTTCAGCAGCAAAAGGAAGACATGGATATCCATAGATAAAGGAAAAGGAGTCCTACAAAGTTCATGACTGAGGTATTCAAAGCCACCAATCACCCCTCACACACTCTACAGGTCTTTAATAGCTAGCAGCAGATGCTAGTGGAGAAAAATGCTATGCATGGCACAGAAGGATTAAGTTAGGGACTAATGTTAGCTGCATATAAAGAAGCCCATGAGACCTGAAAGGTTATATCTGAGGACACTGAGGGAACTGGTTGTGGTCACTGAGAGTCTACACTGTGTCACCTCTGACAAGGTACAGTGACTGAAGGAGGTAACCTCAGTCCTTAGGAGGGCTATGGAACAATTCTCTTGGAAGCCATTTCCAGAAACAAAATAAGAAAAAGAAGTGGTCAGAACACATTTACAAAGGGTGAATTATGCCTGGCTGAACTGATTACTTCATATGAAAAGATAATTGGCTCACAAATCCCAAAGAAGGGGAGAAAAATGAATGTGATTTACCTTGATTTTAGCAGGACTTTCAAAATCCCCTCTCATCCTATAGTGCATGTATTGCGATGTTGGTGAAAAATTGCTTGTAGTAGGGAGCTGAAAGGGTAACAATCAATGATTCAAAGTCCAGGCTCTGTCTAAGATGGTCTGACTCCATGAATCAGAATGTGCTGGAGCTGGATAGAAAAGAACTGAAGTCCAGCCAAGGGCCACTGAGAGGGATGGGAGATTTGATGTATTGATATATGATAAGAAGAGTCTCAGAGCAAAGGGGCGAATAGGCTAATGAGAGACCTGACTGTCATATTCAATTAGCTAAATGGGTCTTTATAGAAAATGTGCAGCCAAAATCTTGACAAAGGTGTGCAGACTTCTGCTATACAAAAGTGGGAAGACAAGGGATGTTCAGATGTGATAGAAAAAAAACAATTTTTACCAAGAAGCATTTATAAGCATTGTAGCAGGCTACCTGGCTACTCCAGCATGAGTGTGCTGACATGCAATATATGCAATTCTGCCAGTCTGCACTGGAGACCAGACGTGGCATCACCAGGATTCCTACAGATCTAGATGTACTTTTTGAAGAACGCTAAGGCACTTACTCTGACTGTTTCCTGTGATGAGTACAGTTATCCTGGTATCTAAGGGTGATGCAGGACCCGTGCATCAACTGAAACATCCTGAGTGTTCCTTTACACAGTGTAGCTCCAGGTTTTATGTATGTTCAACAGTCCTCCCAAGAACTACTGTTTGTGAGCAGATTTAGAATGTTGCAAGATTGCTTGTTCCTGCTAGTATAAGCAAGAAGTATCCTGTGCAAAACGAACAAGAATTCCCATAGGAGAAAATCAGTTTAAGTTCAGAATTTTGGTATTCCAGTACTTAGTTCCTTTCCAATCAGGCCCAAGTTTACCCTATTTACCCATTGCCTATTCATTTTCTTCAATACTGGTCACAAGACATTTTGATTCATGAGTTCCAGGATCAGGACTACCACAGTATATGGCATTGCCAAAACTAGCTGTAACAGTTGTCTGTTCATGTCTCTTCTTGTAGAAAAAATATACTATAAGGCCAGTGCCTGCTAGAAGAAGGAAGATTAGCGTAACAATCATCACACCTCGACTATGTGAGGATGAAACAGCAGCTTCTCTTTTTGATGCTGAGAAAAACGAAACAGAACAATTACTACAAATGACCAGAGATTACTACTGCATATAACAAACATTTCCCTAAGTAAACTAGCCAGGTAAACTAGAAAAGTACTGAACAATTATACTTAAAATTGACACCCGTTTTGGATAGACAGAGCAAAAATGTGCTCAGTCTCTCCTACATTTCTTTCAAAAGCAGCATTATAATGTACCACAGTTTATTCACAAAACAACAAAAATATCAATAAGCCATCCAGTTTGAGATAAACGTTCTCCTTTTAAACAGGTTTAAAATGAAATCACTACTGATAGTTAAATGGATATTTCAATGAAACTCATTTACTTCTAAATAATGAATGTCTATAATTTATCAAAATTTCCTTCTAATGTGCTTATAAAACCTACCTTGATTGACAGATGAATCATGGGTTGGTTCAACTTCAATAACTTTAAAATTAAAAAATACATATATTATACATAGTTTGCAAGTAGTCATTCAAATACAAAATACATACTATAAACATAATTGTTATTTTGTGTTCCTATTACATTTTACTTAACGGAGATGAAAAACTATATATGAAAACATCGTCATTGAAAACTCTTGATGATTTTATCAACGATTTTTGTTAAACATGTTTGTTTTAAAAACTCCAAACTGATGTCTCACTTTATATTGCTTCGAAAACTTTTATTGTTTTGGGAGACAGATGTTAAAAGTTTTCATACTTCCACAGTCCCCAACCTTCATTCTGAAGAATTTAATTTTTTACACTTGAATAACTGAAAAGCACATTTTTACTTAAAAGTATTTAAGCTGCATTTTTAGGCATTTCTTTTTTCCTTTCTCTTTTGCTTGGGATACAGTAAATTCTCTGCAGGCCTGGCTGGCTAGCCCTTGAGAGCTCATGGATGATTCTACTGCCAACATGTGGAGATCCAAAAAAAGAAGATTCAATTAGTTGCAAGATGCGTGAATTATATGAGAAGTGGATCTGTTTGCCTTTTCAAACCACTTCCCAGCTGATGTGAGAAAATGTGGCACACTCCATGTATGCACGTGCAGATTTGCATCCTCCACACTTTATGAAACACTGCTGTGCATGCCAGGGAGCGTCATCTCAGGCTGTGACAAATTCAACTAAAAACTGCAAGGCCACCATTAATAATAAAATGTATTGTTTTCTATGGCAGTCTTGGCATGTCTCATGCCTGGGTCAGCAGAGAAATGATTTGGGCCCCACTGCCCACCCTCAACTGACACTTTCTGCTTAGCCATTCAGTTAAACTGAGCACACTTCATTTCTACTAATCCCACTGGCAGCTCTTGCTTTCATCCTCCAGAAGCTCAGTGATTTGCCCAGCCACCTCTCAGCTTAGCCATCTGTCTTCTCATCACTAATCTAGTCATCTATTCTTCATCTAATGCCTCCTGTACCCTAATGTAACTTCCTCCACGCTCTCACCAACTGATCTGTTCTTGGCACAGCAAACAGCAAAAAAGCAATGCTCTTAAACTGAGAAGATAAAAATATGATTGAGATTCTTCTCCTGCATTATTTTTCCTAGCTTTGAAGCACATGCATCGAGATCCATCCACAAAGAGTATCCAGTGCATGTACAATTAAGTCTCATGCAGGTTAACAACTACTTACAAAATAAGTCAGTAGACAGAATTTAGAACTCACTCTTTGGAATTTTACAAATGAAATTGCGGTCAACAGAGCAGTAATAGTTCCTCCAGGATCCACTTGAGACATCCATGTCCACACAGTGTTCATCATAAATCATTGTAGGCTCTCCTTTCTCCCAGTTGACAAATTCTACCACACTTCTGTCTGTCCACATCCATTCCCCTAAAATTAGAAGTATTAAATTGGAAAGGGATGAAGTGGGAGAATATTTCTAGTCTACCAGGCCCAAGGACATTGCATATGGAATTTATTATTTGATTAAATAAATTACCTTTGCAGAAGATTCTGTTTTCACTCTTTTAACAGATAGGGATGTTTAGATGGGAACTTGTCAAATGTAAATGCTCACAAGCTGTACACAGATGAAGTCAACACATTAACCCTTCTGGACCATTATGAAATAATTACCTTCAATATTTTTGAACAATCCTATCCAAAATTTTCTGAAATCACTTGCAAGTGGAGACAAGTAAAGTAAGAGGAAGTTCATTTCAGCTGGATCTTCTATGGAAACCAGAGAAGCACCTAACATATCAAATAAACAGTACAAAAATTTCAGCAATATTTCTCACTATACATTTTTTTACTTCAGTAAAAAATCATGAAAAAAGAAAATGGGGAGGGGTGGGGGAGAGGAGGGAGAAGGAGTGAAGGAATCCTTTAAAGCCCAAGAGTTTTCAATTATTAGATCACAAGTTCACAACAAAATGTGAACTTGTGAACTTGAACAAAAGGAAAGTTCAAGCTCTACTGACAGACTACCAATATCCACCTCTGACATCATGGGTTGACATGGTAAAATAGAAGGCATTACTTTCATAGCAGCTCTCATAAAAAGGCACTTACCCATTTGAATACACATCATGGAAGCATCTGGCCAGCTTACTTCAGAAGTGGTGTGAACATAGTAGCAATGGCCACGAAAGGGAATCCAAGATCTACCGTGCTTTGGTTCAGGACACTTTCCAGGAAGCTGTGGCGATTCGGTAGGAATTAACTCTGTTAAGGAGATGTACAACTTTCAGTGGGTTTTTAAAAGCCAAGGAAAACATGGTCTGCTGATGCTGAAATAAAGACAGGATTTGAAATTCCAGCCTTTCTAAATGCACTTCTCCTATTCATGACCTACCATCAGATTGTTTACAGAGAGATAAAAATGTTTCATTGCAAGATGTTGTCTTCCAAAAACCATCTAAATCTAAATAGGCACAGGCTGCATTCTTATTTGGTTCTCCACTGGCCCAGTTATGATATCTGCTCCTCCTTCTATCCGACCACATGTAAACGCCACGAGTCTAAAAGCAAATGACAGTAAAGATCATGTCACATACATGAATTAGATTAAAAGAAAATGAAGACTGCACTTGAAGGTACGTAAAAGTTAGGACAGGTCAGAATCACAGTTACTTACACTTAATTGTCATGGTTTTATGTTTTTTGGCTTTCAGTATTCTGCATCATAACATCATGTAGTGCCCTGGGAGTTAAAGTGTTAATGCTCCAATTCCAGGTACCTATTCCCCTATACATTTATGGAAATCACGGGATCTGGCCCTTCTAGGTGGGGCGGTCTCTTACTGCCTTGCAGTGGGTGCTAGAGGGTGCTTTTCTAGCTGTTCCAAGCGTTTGAGGTTTGACTCGGTCCCAGGAACTCTCTCTCTCCTATCTTGTTTGATTTATTTACCTCAATTTCAATTAGATTGTATTATATTTTGTTACCTTGCATTCCAATATCATAGTTAGTAAAATAAGTTTTCCTCCATAGATCTTTGCTGTGGGTTTTTTTCTTCCTTCCTTGAGCCCAGTTCCCATCTCCCTATCCCTTTTCCTTTTGCCTTCCCATTTTGTAGGGCCGGAGGGCGGGGGGGGAAGGGGGTGGCATAGATCATAGATTGATCTAGTTAACTCCGTGACAGTAATTAATTTTTCCTCTGTCATGACCAAACCTCAGCCCTACGCAGCAGATAGGATGGTAGTCCTAAAGACATTCATTCACACTCAACCTGCATTATTCAGTTCACAGTATACAGTTTGTATAGCATAATGGACAAAGGGCCTTGTGGTAGCAAATGTGATTATATAACTGAAGATCTTATTAAAGGAGTCCGAATAAACACAGAAATCAAACAAAAATTGCAGAGAAAGTATTCTTAACATTCTTCTAACACAAGCTTTTCTATATTTTTAGAAAGAAAGAAAAAAAAAATAGCAGTTTGATTGGAACAAGAAATACTGATTAAATTTTCATGGGACACATACACAGACCTCTGCCACCCGCTGCATGGACCAGCTATTTAACATTATATATAGTATATATATATGTGTATATATATATATATATATATATACACTATATTTATATATACTATATATATAGTATCTATCTATATATATATATACACACACACTATATATGTAATATATATATATAAAAATATATTATATTTTCCTTTGACCTCCTTGGCCAAGTTCCATCCCAGTCTTGTATCTAATCCTGGTTCCCCCACGCCCGCTCTCACCAAAATCTAGCTCCTGTTCATCTCACATCAGGAACTGTGCCTTAATCTCCCACCAAGCTCCAGCTCTAACACTCTGCTCTTGACTTCCTTATAACTCTGTTCCCACAAATATCCAGCTGCATCATCTTTTTTCATATTCTTTTTATATACCCTTAGCAAATGCTTCTCATTTCAGCCCTTCACACTCTCTGTTGACTTGAAGCTGGTGGCAGCTTTTTTGCAGGGCACTGACATCAGCTCTGAAAACCACCCTACAGGATTCCCACATCCAGGGGCCTGCTCCTTTCTTTATGCTGCACCTTACAATTTCCCCTGCTACGGAGACAGAAGTAAATGCTAGGCTTAAACTTGAAATAATGCTCAAAATAACCACACAGAAAAAAACTACTTTTAAGCCAAGCTGTTTCTGTGGTATGTTCCACAGAGTGTTCTCAGAAAGAGCTGTGCCCTCCCACATGCATACAAGAGCGCACGAAGCAGAAGTTCATAACCTCTTTTACCTCTGAAGCCACTAGCTACTGCAGCTACAGCCTTGGTGGCCTCTGAAATGTAGGCTGTGGCACTTCCTGCTTATGTTATGGTCAAAAATGTAAATGTTTAAAACTTCTGAATTGAAGGGAAATCAAATATCTCTGCAAGACTTTGATGTCTGCCAAGCATTCATGGATCTCATAGACAGCACTCTCTTTGGGGTCCACAGTAGTGGATTCTGCCAACCTCTGAGCAAGAAATACAGTCAATCTATGCTGATCTGGGGTACGGCTGTGTTTATCATAAGCATTTTATTGGCTTACCATGTTGCTGTTAAGACCAATCCATACGGGCTCTCCATGCTTTAGTATTTGTAACCAAAGGTAAGCTTCAACATAAGGATCTAAAATGCTGGCAAGATCTGCATACTGGTCTTTGCAATTCTTCTGTGCTTCTTCCCAGTTCATTTTATAGTTGATGACCGCATAGCGGTCATCGCCATAGTTGTTAAAGCCAAACACTGGAACCACGGCTTGGGAACTTTGCAATTTAGGGTCTGTAGCAAACAAACAAATAAACAAAAATGTAAGTTGGAAGCTTTATCTTGGCTGGACATATTATCACAATGAAAGAGGACCTAGTGTATCAGAGTAATCAAGTAACTGAGAGAGACTGCAATAACAAATTAAGATTCCCAGTTAGCACTGCAGTGATGAGGCCATGTTTTCATGTTCTCTGACAAAATTTTCATGTCAGAAATGATCTTTATGGTTCTCTCTCTCCATCCTGGCTGCTGTACTGTAAAAGACATGACTGTAAAATACTTGATGATCCATAGTTTATCATTATTACTATCATTATTTTTAATTTACTGGTCTGGTCCTTAAAACAGGAAGAATTTTTTCTTGCAGGAAACAGTATGCGCGCTGGTTGAAAAGGATCCTAAAGCAAGAGATATTTCAAAATTGCAAATTAATTTCAGTTAAAATGACACTGACTATGGGAAAATCACTTTTACCATGGGCTTTATATAACCATAACACGTAAACCATTCTAGAAGGTGCTTACAGAAAACTCACCAGCATTTTTCTGGCATATGTAACTTTTGCTTGCTTTACAATCTTCATCCTTCCATTTCCCTGCTTGTTCAATAGGGTTCTTCTTCATATAGACACAGTCATCCTATGGAGGAAATTAGATTAGTAAGAAAAAGATTTGGATAAATAGGAAGCATTCCTTTTCCTACTGGATATACATTTCCCTATCACATTCAGCTACGCATGTCTGAATAAAATTATTGAAGGACTACATTCAGTGCACTTATCTTACTAGGCTTAGCATCAAGAAATGTAAAATATCACTTTTCAAATATTTTCATCATGTCTAAATAACACTCTCTGCATAACGTTACACAGTTGTTGCTATGGTTTATTTGAATCTCCTGATCAGTCATGGTAAAGGGAGGGGAATTGCTCACTTGTCTGAGATTTTTACAGTGTTTCCAAACATCTGTCTGGATTCATACAAAATCATGATGAAACACAGAAGTTGAGAAAAAATATCTGAAGGTGGACCTTCATGGCTACTTTGCTTTCAAAATCAACAAGATCATTTAAAAAAAAAAATGTAGAAATGTAACTTTACAGCAAAATACAGCTGACATACATTTTATTCATCCACAAAAGCTAAAATAAGAGCAGCAGAGTGGCGCAGCGGAAGCGTGCTGGGCCCATAACCCAGAGGTCGATGGATCGAAACCATCCTCTGCTAGCAGCATTTTTTACATTAAAAAGCAGTGTAATTTATTTTAACAGTCAGACTCCAAGATGCATTCAGGAAACACAAGCGATCAAAAGGGCACCAGGCAGCTCTCTCTCTGTCTTCTGGGAGCAGCATCACTGAAATACACATGGCAACCATTGGCCACAGTGGTTGGACTGAGATGGAAACCCAGACTGGGTGCCAATGACTTGGGCAGACAGACCTCTAGATGAGTGAATAAAGCTGCCCATATCTTCTGTTGCAGGGAACTCCAGAACCTGGAAGTTCTCCTAGGGTCTGAGAGAAGAGGAGGTGCAAGTGTTCCCAGTTTGATAAACTTTTTGAGCAAGCGGCCAGATTGCATGAGGAAATCATTAGGAAATGTAGTATTCAGGAATCAGGGAGAGAAATTGATGAGCGGTATTGTGCAGTGATACAGGCAGGGCAACTACCCTGTCTGAAGTCCTTGCAAGGGGAAGAAGCTAAGCTAGTTTCCAAACCTGAGGAGACAGACCACAAAACCTGAAGAGATAGGAGAATGGGTCCTAGTCTCTGCTTCAAGAAGGATGAGTCTCCCTCTTGCCCCCTAAGTGCCTTTAAAGTCCCTTTCAACCCAAGCTATTCTATTCTGTGATTCTATGGTTCAATGATTCCATGATAACAATGCATTTTTTACCTTACTATAGTAACTTCGGGAACCTTTTGCCCAATTTGTGTAGTAAACTGGACTTCCATCTGTCCATAAGTATGTATGCTCATGATTTATGTCATTCAGTCCAATCCAGGCATCAGTTGCAGTATTTTTTAAGAGAGACATGAGGAAAGCTGAAGAAAAGATAAATATTGTACATGGAAGGAAAACGTTATAATCTGCTTCTCCATGATCATTTCATGTCTCATTTAGTATCAAAAGATTAGTACTTTATACCTTGATTTTCCTTTTTTGAGATCGTAGCCAGGTTTCCTCCAACAGTAATACAGTTGTTCCGTGCAGCGTGCCATGTCAGTGTATAATTTTCATCAAGGCCAAATGCTTTGAAACACTGAAAAGTAAGAAGTGTGCCAAAGCTGTAGTTGGATGGTGTTTTAGAGTTTCCAGTGAAAGCATCTCTGTGTGTAATAAGTGAGATAAGCTAACTATTTTAAACCAAAAGGAGACTTAACTGTCCTTTCTAGCTTGCTTTTAGGTTTTTCTGAAAGAGAAGATGCATACTGGAAAACCTCCATATTTTAGCACCCATTTAGAAGAAGAAATATATCAGTCTAAAATTTTCAGTGGAAATTAAGCTCAAGCAACGGTTCCACAGCATTTTGGAGGCTTGACTTTGAGTAAGGAATGCCTAAGACCTCAGAAAAGAATTCACACAGGTCAAAAAAGTATCTCAGAAGTGACAGCTGGATAAGCTTAGCAAAGTAAATAAGAATATACAGTTGTTCTGAAGTTGTTTCTCCCACAGTTGCCCACTATCATTGGAAATACTAAATAATAGCAAAAATACATAATGAAGTATTCTCCTTATATGGCACATGATTTCTTTCATAACAGTTGTGGCCCCAATACAGACTATAATTTCTATTTTAGGACTCTTATTTTTAGGGTCATTAAATGTACGTGGTCAGAATATATTTTGTGATAAACAAATCACTGCTTCAACTTAAATACTGAACCAAGGAAGTTTTCTATTCTTTTCAAAAAGCAGTATACTGACTTTTCATACTGCACCTTATTATCAAAGAGGAGCCAGCCTTCTGGACACCCACCATTGGGTGGTGGTACTGTGGGAGCAGTACTTGGACGAACAGTACTGTTAAGCCTTTCACAGATGAAAAGCTCAACACTGCCACAGTTGAGGTCATTCCATGTACCTTAAAGTAAATCAGAATAAAAGACAAAACTGAGACTGAAATATACAGTGACCTTTCCTTCAGTAAATCTATAATAGGAAGTAGAACTGATTACAGTATTTCCCTCCCCATGGAAATAATGACTAATTTTATGTACATTCTCCTCAGAAATATTTAGGTTTACAGCAAAATTCATGACTGCCAAAGGGTCATTTTAAATTAACCTCTCTAAAATCTCATGCAGATCTCTAAGCCACAGACTTGCACATTCAGCCCTTTCAAGTCTGTACCACATCATGAAGGACTGAATATTGTTACAGCACTCACCTGTTTGGGTATACATGACCACACAATTTTCATCATTATTTGCAAAGTTGGGTTCATTTGGGGCCCAGGCAACATAGTTTACAGTAGTTCCATCCACCCACCTGAAATAAGTGATTTGGGAGAATAATAATTTGTAGGGTAGCATTTCTTTGCTAGGGACTTACTAGAGCTTGGTGGTAGTTTTGTTTTTATTTTTCTATATCCTACTTTACAAACGTGTTCTTCTCTGGTAAAAGGAAAACTTTTCACTTGTAATCATTAAAAAATATCTTCATGTCTAATGTCTAATACTGCTGACTTGAACCAGGTCTCATATAGTATTTTCAAAGTCATGGCTTTCCTCTGTCTCTGAGCATTAATAACTCAAACAAAATACACTGGTGCAATACTGGGCCTGGCCTTACCTGGAGCACAGATGCAGAAACATGAGGCTAACTTAGTAATTTCCTGGGGCCAAAGCAGTGATATAATGTCTTAAAGGGTAGGAGAGATTCTCAAATTATATACTAGGAACAATTTTGTTAACAAAAGAAATCGATAATATATATTGCTACTGCTTTCAGTTATTAAAAAAAAAAAACAAAAAACTTCCTAGTTCAGTGATTCACAAATTTATTCTCACAAATGCCCTATGAAAAAAAAAAGTAAAAAGCCTCAGAGTGCTGGAGGGAGCACAGTCAAGTGGGGAATGTGCTTTCAGACAGCATGAGCTCCAGGGCCATTCAGTGTTTTTCCAGTTTGTGAAGCTAATCAACAGTATGCGTGTTCCTGCCAGTAGACTACAAATAAGGAATGCAAAAGGATGCCTAACTGCTTTCACTTGCAAATCTTCCTGATTCAAACAGGAAAAAAAAAATAACATAGAGTAAACTGGGAAGAATGTCTTAAAGACATGAGACAAAATGAGTCAGCAATGTGCATGTACAGCCCAAAAAGTCAAGTGTATCCTGGGCTGCATCAAAAGGAGCATGGCCAGCGTGTCAAGAGAGATGGTTGTCTTCAACCACTCTTCTCTTGTGAGGCCCCATCTGGAGTACAGCATCCAGACCTGGCTCCCCAGAACAAGGACATAGACCTGTTGGAATGAGTTCAGAGAAGGGACATGAGGATGCTCAGAGGGCTGGAGCAGATATCTTATGAAGATAGACAGAGGGAGCTGGTGTTGTTCAGCCTGGAGAAGGCCCCTGCAAGACCTCATTGTGGCCTTTCAGTACTTAAAAGGGGCCTACAGGAAAGCTGGAGAGGGACTATCAGAGATTATAGTGATAGGAAAAGGGTAGATGGCTTTAAAGTAGATTTAGATTAGACATTAAGAAGAAATTCCTTACTGTGAGAGTGGTGGAACAGGAACAGGTTGGTCAGAGAAACTGTTGATACTCCAAGCTTGGAAAAGTTCATGGTCAGGTTGGATAGGGCTTTGAGCAAACTGATGTAGTGGAAGTTGTCTCTTCCCATAAAAGGGGGTTGGAACTAGACAGTCTTTAAAGTCCCTTCCAACCCAAACTATGGGTTGGAAACTATATTTCTATTATTTTGAGGTATTCCATGATTCTATGATTTTACGATTCTATGATTTCTGATAAAGTTGGACCATTATCCAGAAAAAAGAAGGATTAAACTAGAGGGGCAGTAAAGACAAACAAAGTTTTTTTGTTTGGGCAGGGGAGGAGGGGGCAGAAGCTCCAAGAAATCAGACTGTCTTAGCTCCACAGAGATGAGTGTCTGTGGTTTGTGAACAAGAAAGACATCCTGAGAATTCAGAAGAAAAGTTAAAATGAGGCAGAGATTCATCTGAGCAACTTTGAAATCCCCGAAGAAGGCACTAGAAAAGGGCAGAAGAGGAAGGCAGAGGAAGGTTTTGATCATTTGAATATTTAATACTTTCTTAAAGTACCACCTGGAATATCTCTAGAGACCTCAATCTTATCTATCTTATCTTCTCTTGCATTTAACGAGGAAAGTGAGTGCATGGTTAACTCAGAGTAGTCTGACTGTGGGCAAACATGACTTCCCAAAACAAAAAACAGGGCCCAGAACTAGAAGAAGAGAAAATAGATAATGAAAATATCATAGGAGAAATGCTACCCTGAAAATGAGAATCATATTTTAAGATTTTATGTCAAAATATGGCTATAGGCAAACTCTGTTCACCTTTAAGCCTCAGTAGCCTCCTAGAAACAGCCTTGGAAAATATTCACACATCTCACATGAGTCTTAAATACTGTATGTTTTCACTTACCGGAACGTCTTGTCAAGGCTCACAGTTAAGCCAATAAAGAAATTATTTCCTTGATCTTTATAAAAAGTCTAAAAGATACACACAAAAACAGAAGTATCAATGAGATGTAATCAAATAGATTTCAAATAAAATGAGCAAGCACTTAGAAGCACCTTATTTACATTTATGCAGTTAGATGACAAGCAGTGTACAGGGAGTTGCTAGGATTATGTGCCCAAACTTCAAAATGCAAAACTATCATTCAATTATTTAAAAAAAAAAAAAAAAAAAAAAAAAAAAAAAAAAAGGATGAAAAAGAAATTGGGCAAAATGCTGTGTTAAGATTAAAAACAAAACAAAATTAAAAATGTCTAAAGAGGATATAATATAAAATAAAACCATATTTTTGGGAAAACCATAGTGGAAAATTGCCGAAAGGCTCCAAGTAAATAACGGAGTTTACTGTTTAATCACATGGAAGAAAGGGAGGAATCATACTTGTTTTTAATAGTATAGAAACTATTTATAAAAAACTAGAATCACCAAGTTATTCACTTCCTATTGGAAAGCAGCCTGGCTCAAACTATTTCTTGAAAATTTAATCTATTTTGACAAAGAGAAAGATTTCTTTTCCCCTTGTTTCTAAATTCTGTGAAGAGAACGAGGTGGAAAACAAAATACCCACTCAGTAACTAACTTGTAACTGAACAGAAAAAAAATGTTGAAAGTTGCACTCTGGCAATGGTCTTGTAAAGAAACGGAAGACTTTTCTACACATAGCAATTATTTATTAGAATAATGATTATGTCAAAGTTTCTAGGTGGTTAAACTCATGAAAAGTGACATTTATTTTTTATTATGCAGACTACTTTCTAATATGTCTGAAGCCAGCTGAAAAAGAGGCCTCAGTAGAGGATAAAACTTGATTTTTTGAAGTGATTTTCTTACATATTTCCAAAGAAACGTTCTTTCACTTTCACTCTCGATAACAGCAAGATCACCACCATTTTTCTTGCAGTAGTCTCTTGCTTTTTCCATAGGCATCGCTTCCTTGCTAAAGTAATATTCCTTATGATTATATATTATCCAGTCATCTTCACTAACAATATACTCATAATCTGCAATTTGAAACATTAAGTAGAGTGTTCATAATAGACATTAACACCATTGCATGAAAATTTCTTCACATACTGAAAATACAAGACTTACCAAATGTGGATGTAGGTTCTGGTTTCAGTGATGCTCCTGCAAGGTAAATCAATATCTGAGTATATCAGAAATATCTCAATCAAATATGTTTATGCCATTGTTTTTTAATCATTTACCATTGCATTTTAATTTCCAGTGATAAAATGAAACCTAGAAGTTACTCGTAAGATTTTTTTTGTCACAAAATTGCTAGGAATATCTGAAAGAATGTGTTACACTCAGCAAACTACTATGTTAGAGCTTACATACACTATGGACTATGGATTTATGCTACTTGATTTCATTTCCTCAGCATGCTGCATGTACATGCTAAACTCACACATATATCTCATCGATGAATTCATAGTTTTCAACTGCTTTTATTTAAATTGAAATTCATGTAGTGTTTCATGGAACAGCTGGCTCTAATACATGTGATGTGATCTACCTAGAGAGGATGTTCTAAACTGTTTCTAAATATCATTTTTAGAAAAAAAAAGGTCGTCAACTTACCTTTTTTTATTTGACAAACATAGTCTTGCATATGTTCACAAAATATATCATTCCATTTCATATCATTATAGCCATAAAACACTCCACATTTTTCGTTTCCATCATAATTGTTTGGTTCTCCATTTGCCCATTTTTGAAAATTTACCTATAGTGAAAACACAGCGTTTTCAGGGTTTTCTACTGAAGCAAAACATTCTTTTAACTTGTTAAAGAAGAAAACATTTCATTTGAATTCATGGTTCACATTATCTGTTTGTTCTAAACACCAGAAGTAGGACATGACCACAAGACCATTGTATAGCATAGTGATTCTTCTCTGTACCTATTGGCCAACACTAGGAAGCCAAAAAACTGTTCTCCTCCATTATATGTGAAGAGATTAAGTTGTTCTGTCAAGCTCTAGAAAGTAGAATCTAAGAACTTTCCTCAGATCCTCTCCTCCTGCCCTGATGTTGCAGAGACATCCAAAGCTGCCATCACATGGCTTTGGGCCTTGCAGACATTAAGCAACTTAAGAGGGTGAAGGCAAAAAAGCTTATCTTGACCAAACAAACACAATTATTTCCACAGTAAATAACAAATGAAAATACAGAGATTTGTACAATCAGAATGGCTTAAACCAAGAGAGAAAATAGAGATTCCATTATCTTTGGTGTTATTTCATTGCTATAACTGTCATACTACTCTGTATGATTGTGAACTATCAAAAGATAAAAACTAATTCCTAAATCAGACTTGGGAAGTTGACTTAAAGTCACTTGTGTTTTGTACATACTTGACAAGCCGTATGTGTAGTATAACAAAAGGAGCAGGAACAAGAAATTTTTACTCACTGGTGAACCATCACACCACGTAAATCCTCCATCAGAGTCCAAGGCATTTAAACCCATCCAGTAAGATAAGTGACGATAGTCTTTATTTCTAAATGATTATGTCAAATATAAACAATAAGAGTGTGAAATAGAGATGGAGAATATATATCGTATGAAAGTTTTGTCACTTGAATTATCACTTGAGGAATTAATGTAAAGCTTACCCCCATTTTCATGTGGGGAAAAACATTTGACAGGAATCAGGGAAACAGAACTGTACAGGAATGATCACAGATATCACATTATCAAAATTACTGAATTAAATGAAAATCTTAAGGTCTTGGTCCCACAAAGAAACTTATGCATTCAAACCCAGACTAGCCAGTACTCATTTGCTTCAGTTAAACATTTATTTAAACACATCAGTAGGTCAGTCTTTCTTAGTCTCCAATTTTTCCTCTTAACTAAAGAAGGAAAATTACATTTCACAGCATAAAATATTCCTTCAATTTTTTGATTATTTCATCTGCTGGTCAACTACAACAGGCTTCTCTTTTTCAACTAAACTGAGTTGAAACCAATTTTTATGACCCTTCTTTCATTTTTGCGTGTATTCAAGCTATTCTCACACATAGATGAATCTACCCAAAGGCCTGCCAAAAAGCACATTTGCTCACTTCTTTCGACCTCTTTACCTCAGTTTCTATCTGTTTACATTTTGCAGAGATGCACATTGTCTTTCCAAAAAAGAAATTGACCACTGGAAATTCCTCATGTCGTACAAAATGTTCATTTTTAAAATGCTTTCTTTCCTATATTTACACAATGTATTTTGCAGATACTTACAAACTAGATATTAGTTTTTGCTCTTCTTCACTGTGGACACATGCCAGATCTCCTCCAATAGCTCTGCAAAAATCTCTTGCACCAAACCATGTTTGCATTTTCTCCCTTCCTCTCTGAAAAATCTGTGGAAAGTGGACAGTTAAATACAGTCTCAGATATTAGAGTAATTTAGAGTCAGCATTCTGAGCCTCTGTTTTCTTGCCTCTAGTTTAATCATTGGGCATTTAGTTGTGCCACCTTGCTTGTGTGGTCACCTAGCAAACTTGATTATTTCAGCCTTGCTTTTGGCATCATCTCAGAATCCTGGTAGCTCCAAACTTCAAATCCAGCAGCACACAGCACTTTCCAACACCTCAGGATGCTCCACCCAGGATATGGTTAGAGATGTGTAAACACGAATGACCCATTATGTAAGCAGGGTAAAATCCATCCTCCATGCATACATGAAGCATATTCTTACTTGAAATGACAAGTGTTTGTTTTCACTTGTTAAATACCTACTTTGAAACAGAAGCTGCTCTGAGGAACGGATTGCCATTCGTCTGGGCAGGATGGGAGTGGAGGAGTCGTCAGAGGGGGTGGTGGGGTCGCTCCCTCCACCAGCTGCTTGCACAGAAACAGGTTTTTTTCTTCACAATTGAGAATATCCCATAATCCAGCTGAAGTTCCCGTTCTCATGGCCACGCAGCCTGGCTCCCTTCCTTCATGAAAGACAAAATTTTAACACCTTATTGATATGTACCTACATCTTCTCAAAACATATATCCTCTACTAAAAGCTACCTGTACCCACTATGTTTGAATGTTCAAGTAGTTAAAATAAGTTATAAAAAAAATCATTTTATATTATACTGATGATATATTATATCACCAAAATATAAAAGCCAGCAGAGAACCAAGAATGAATGACAGCAGCAGTCACATGCAGTCCCAGGTGGCCACCTGGAAAGAGCTACTACAGCTTCAGTACAAACAGAAGTTGCATGGTTGTTCCTGCACATTTATGTCAGAACTGTTTTAAAACCACCCTGTAGTTTCTAAACCATGACTTCCTGGTTCCCCAGAGCAGAAACTCTGAACTCCTGGTTCCTACCTGGCATTCCCATGTTCCAGTGAGTGAAGATGACTGGGTCCCCACCAGTCCACTTGAACGTCCCCTGCTCCTCCACGTCTGAGAGTCCAATCCAGAAATATTCCACTGGCTTGAATCCAATTATAGAAGTTAAAAAAGCCTGTTCATATCTGTGAAGAATAAGTACTGAAGTAATATACCAAGCTTTATTGCAATCCACCTATTTCTTCAAATAGTTCACTGTAGTAAACCTGGTAAATTTAAGATGATTTGTTAATTACATGGGGAAAAATAAGCATAGATTGAAACAAGGATCATGGTCTTAAGATCTCATCATAATACAAATTGTTTACTTTACAATTAGGTAATGTAAATCATGCTTATAATTTAAAGTGATTCTATTCTCCGTTTGTGCTACACAATGAGCAATATAAGCCAATACTTGAATTAATGCATTTATTTAAATCAGTGATACGGTGATTTACTATGCTTTAAAATAAGGTTTAGATCTTTAAATACTTTTAGTCTAGGATAAAATAATTATTCTAAAAAGGAATACATTTCCAGATCTTCCTATTATTAGGAAAAGGCTAAAAACTCAAATCCAGAAGAAATAAATGGTTTCGTATTTATCTGTTTAGTTCATTTCAGTGAGTTTTAAAACATTCTGATCATTTGGGACTGCTGGGGGGGCTGAATCAAATCTTTACTACCAGGGACAAGAAGAGTGCTGGTGAATAGCAGCCATAGCTTGAATGTTAATATTGATGACATAGCACTGCCTGTTATACTTTGTTACACTTAGTTTTAACATGTATCTTACACCAAAGAAGTAGTATCACATTACACACTATTACTAACTGCAGAGTAGGAAGAGTTGAATTTTTGGTTTGGTTGCACATATGAAAGGACAAGATTACACTGCCATACCTGTCTGTCACAGTAGCCAGGTGAGCTTTGTTTTCTTCACAGATAAGTTTTGCTTCTGAAAATGTTGCTGGTAGCTGCCCTATAGAGTAGCAGTAAAAGCCATGCTTCATCCAGCCCTGCAAATGCAAACAACGAATACACAAGGGGAACTGTCAGATCGCCCAGCATAGAGCTCTTCTAAAAGCCACATTAACACCACATCCCACACCAAAATCAACCTCAGAAGCCATGAAAAGGAATTTAGTATAATCAAACATAGCTTTGCAGACACAACACTGCTTCTCGCCCCTTGACAGGTGCCTTTGTCAGTAATGAACCGTGGCTCTGACTTGGAACTGGAAAGCAAGCTGACAGCCACAGCTCAACAAATTGGGTAATGCCAGCTCTGCTTTTGTGTTATTAATATATAACATCATGCTCATACACTCAGATGACATTAGCAAAGAAGTGCTGGAGAAATTAAAAATAAAATATGGAAAACATTTATTTTTTTTTTTTGTTTCTCCATAGTATTATGTTATGTCATTTTAAATAGAGCATAAAACAGCATATTATTTTTATGTGCAGCTGTTGCAAGAGGCTGTGCTGCAGTCGCACTGTAAAACAGCAGGCTCAGATATTTCTGCCTCCTGTGAAGGGTGGGTTGAACCTAGATGGGTATGTGCAATCTGTGGGTTCCAGCTCAAAAGCAATGAAATGCTCTGCAGGGAGAGGCCGTTGGGGCAAAGGGAATAGCTCTGCACCAAAAGGCAGCACTGTGAAGTGCATATGTAAGTGAGGAAAAGAGAAGACATTTTGAGTTTATTAATCTAAGAAGTATCAGCACAGACAAAGAAACAGTTTTCTAGGAGTCCACAAATTGCAGTAATTGACTTCTATGCCACTTACCGTCATGGAAATGAAAGTGGGATGCAGTGACCTTTCACTGCTTTTGTTTCACACTTACTTTCTGGCAACCCGGGTAAGTAACTTCAGCTTCCCCTGATTCCTCTGCCAAGGGTTTTCTTTTACAGATGTAACCAAGTTTTGTTTCACAAGCACTGTCAGTCCAGAACCCAGCCTGAGCAAGGCAAGAAGAAACCACAAGTGAAATCCAGAGAAAATCCAGGTTCTATAGGAATATTTACTATTGTCAGAGAGACCACTTCTCTCTTCATATGGCGTGAGTTGTTTCAGCATTTCCATGCCTGGATTCTTTCTCCAAACCTCCCAGACAGGGAACACAACAAACTGAGGGCCACATTTCCTCAGAAGTGTGAGAATTAGGGAGGAGTGTATTAAAGTTTCAGTGGCTGATGAGAAAAGTAACAAAACATCTTCTCTTTCATCTTATTCTCAGCACTGCAGTATTTATTCATGCTCATATATACAATAGTATGCTCATTCACCCAGATGACATCAGCAAGGAAATGCTGGAGAAAAAAAAATAACATATGGAAAACATACTGTTTCCCTAGTATAATAATTCGTCATTTTAAACTGAGTGTAAAACAGAACAAAGTTGTTTTTTGTTTGTTTGTTTGTTTTGTACCTAATTCTTTGTGCTTCCAGTACTATGAGCTCCCAGAGCAACTGTAATAAAGGTATGTTTACATACTTTTCTGATGTTTTACAGGAAGGATAAAGAAAATCCCTGTTCCAATAGCTAGACTATGCAGCTATGATTGGTTAGGTCAAAGGCAGGTGAAGGGTCACTTCAGCCAATTTCAGATGGGAAATTTGTTGCAACTGTTATAAAGTAGATCAACTCTCAGCAGAGTGCATTGCTTCTGATGCTCCATCTTACATCTCCCTAAACCTGGTCTCCAGCCTCTCACCATACTAAGATATTCTGAAGCAAACCAAGTTCCTAAAACTCTTTAAAAGCCTTTTTTTTCTTCTTCTTCTTTTTTTTTTTTTTTTTAATCACAGAATTTTCACAGATTTTTTTCCCTGTATAGGGGAGGTATAAATGGCAAAAGAAAGTTAGGGAGGGATTTTTACCTCTCCATTCATAACAATGCAGTCTGCCTTATTAGGTGTGTGGGTTGGCTGTCTTTGATGCCACTTGGTGTATGTCACAGGTGTCCCATCACTCCATTCAAAATACATCTGAAACCTGAAATCACTTAAACCAATCCACAACTCATCATCTGGCTCTGGAAAAACAAAGTTAATGATAGGCATTGTCTTAAAATTGAGATACAATGTCTAATATCCACAATTACTGAACAAGGAGTTTCAAAAAGTAAACAAATTAACAGGTAAGCTTATGGTTATAATGATTACATAAGTAACAGCAAGAGAGTATAGCTCCAGACAAAGAAATTTCTTGTGGGAATACTCACTATACCCAAGTTGAGACACTATAAAACTGTACTCCTCAACATTATGAATACTTGTCAGGTCTCCATCTTCTTTTCTACATGATGATTGGGCTTGTTTCCATATTTTGGGTGTTCTGTAAATTCTATAGCAATGCCCTGCATAGGCTACCCATTCCCTGGGGCACTTAATAGGCTTCATGTCTCCTAAAAAAAAAAAAATATTTCAAACAATTAGTGAGCGGTTCTGCTGAGTGTTCTCTGCTAATCACAAAGAAAATTACCTGTACTGCAAACTCTGAGATACTAGAGTACAGACTGGAAGAAAAGACAAAAAAGGGTGGGAGTATCATAAAGAATGCAAAACAGATATCTGCATCAGAACAATATTGTTCCGGAAGCTACCCAAATAGCTCTTTTAGAGGATGAAATAAATACTCATCAATTTGGTACGAAAGTTTGAAGGGCAATACTTTATATCAAATCCCCATCCATGAGGCTTTGGGTACAGCCACAGGGCCTCTTGTCCTACACAGGAACTCTGTCTTGGTGAATTTTGGAGATTTTCTGTTGTTTTTTTTTTTTAGGAAACATCAGGTGATTGCCAGTCACTTCGAGCTCCTGCACTGCTCATATTATGCACTGGAAGGCCCAGACACATTCATGTACAAGCTTGCATTCCCCTGGTCAACATCCAAGCATGGGTCTGGAGGTAAGCATGGGTCAGAAACCATCCCCAGTAGGCTACCTGGATGCAGCCTTAGTATTTAAGGTGTGCCATTAAACCCTCAATCCAGTGAACAATGTTATAGACTATCATGTGTGTTGCTGGGGGAGTTACAGCAGAGCTAGAGGCATGCTGAGAATTCCCAAGCACTAAACATTTTCTTCCTATAGAAAAGACTACATTGCCTCCAGTGAAAAGAGAACACCAGTGGGAAAAATTGCCAGCCCCAAGTTCTAGTATTTTTTTTTCAGAACAGGGTAGAAAATGTCAGAGAGAGTGGGGGGAGCATGAGCTCTAGCTCACATCTTTTTTCAGGACTCATCATACCTGAGGGAACAATGAAGGAGTCATCCACAATGGAAGAGTTTCTCTTTTGGCAGATATATCCCAGCTTTTGATTACATGCCACATTTTCCCATTTGCCATTCCTGCCTTGGAAGATTCCACACATTTTTATAAGCTCCACAGAGGGATTTCCTTTAGGAAAGAAGCACAACATACAGAGAATCACTCTGTTAACACTGAATATTTTCATCTCACCACAGGAGGGAATGCGCAGCCACATGGCCTTAGTTCCTGATTCTTCAGAATGAGAATTCCCGGGAGCAGTGATGAAGAGACACCAGTGAGCCCACTGGGAGGACCCGCATTTCAAATATGAGAATGTCCCCCTTCCCATGAACAATTCAAGGAGAAAATGAGGGTGTTTGAAATACTGCAGCACACAGAAAACACTTCGTAAAAATTCAGCTAAGGCACAACTCCCTGTGGGTTGGTATGATTGCAAAACACTCAATATCTTTTGCTGTCAAAAAATGGATGTGAAATTTGTATTGAATTCCACATAAGCGCTCACCTCTTGGATTTTCTTGTCATCAGAACTGTTATTGTAAAATTATATTGACTTCAGCAACATACACTGTGCTGAATTAAATCTTGAAAAATATAGTGGAGACTTATTAAGAGTTTATCAATAGACATCATAAGCAATACATAAGGAGAGCAATTGAAAAAAAATTATACAGCGTTTCTCTTTTGGTGTTTTTTTTTCCTCTTTCATAGTTCTCTATATACCACTTTTCTTGAGGTTTTTGTTTTGTTTGAATAATATGCCTGATGAGAAAACTGTAGATGGAAATCAAACACTGAGTGAGGTGCAAATGCATGTTTCTAATGGTTTTCTTAGATGAGCTATCTGCTTTTCCTGGGAAATTCAGAAATAACAATGAGCCATCTATGATGCAATCCCACTATCGCAATACCCTACCTTTATCATAAGCACTTGTAACCAGTGAAAATTCTGTGAAACAAAAGGAATCAGGTAACAGGACTTTGGGGAAGAGAACAGAATTTTGGTCCAAATATTGATCATCATTTCTGAAAAATGCACTCACCTGGAGCCCAATTCAGATATCTGAGAGGACTACCCTCAGTCCATTCCCAGCTGCTATCGAGTCGTCTGACAAGACCAGTCCAGAGCTTGGCATTGAACCCCAGATCACTAGTGAGTCCTACATGTGCAAAATAATAATAATCAATCAATAAATAAAATAATTAAATGCATCTGGTAAGTTGTTAAAGAAAACTTGAAATAAATTTTTTAAAACTGGACAATGAAAAAAAAAGTCATAGATATCTTTCTATCTTTTCTATATGGGTTACTTTTTTTTTTCACAGTATTTTAAGAATTTTTTTGTCAGAAAGTGATGGGTTTTTTTAAGAATGGCACTGGGACTTATTTTCAAACTGTGAATGTAAGTATCCATTTTAAAGCTCATTTTATGTACATTCATTTACTTGTTTGTATGTAATTTTTTGCTTTACCTAACAAAAACATTTCTTCATGAGGGTTTGTGACACTTAACAATTCTGCATTCTGCTGCTGGCAGCTTCTTCTTGCTTGATGCCATGTCAAAAGTGAGTTTGCGTTTATCTGATAATGAGTTTCAGTCAAAGGATTTGTTTTCCAAAAGTCTTTGTGGAGAGTGTCTATAAAATATGAAAAGCACAACTTGATAAGATAATCACAGTGTTAACGTCAAAAGTAAAGTATTCGGTGAAGACTAAAACCAGTGTAGTGTATGGTTTGGAAGATTTTGCCTTCAATATATGCTTTGTGCTTTCAATACAAATAACACATTTATAATGTAAAGAGTTACTTCTCCTTACAAGCCTCATTTTTTTCTACATTCACTTTCTTCTTTTCTTTTCCCTTTATATCTGATCTACTTCTCTCACAGTTCAGTCCACATTAACCTCCTTTTCCCCATGCAGAAAATCTTGGTCTCTCCATCCATTCTATTTACTTTGGAACCCTTGTTACCCTATTCATTACCTGTCTCAAAATGCCTCAAAAGTACTTCGTTCTGACTTTTTCCATCAGCTCCACACAACATCCTCACCATATATTTCATAGATACCAGTCTCCTTATTGCCAAAGCAGAAACAGAATGAAGAGCAGAGGTCCCGCATCAAGTTGCATAGCTTACCAGTGAATTAGGTTACCCAGAATCCAGTTTGCTGTCCAGTACTACTTTCACATCCTGAGAAGACTTTAACTGTGAGAGGAGGTGACATTTAACTTAACGCCTTTCCTGAAATATTTATAAATAAATTACCTTTTGATGGACAATTTCCAAAACGTTGGTCTTTATCAAAATCTGAAGTAGTTGCACACCAGAGAGAGCTTGCATCAGTCTGACGGATGCAGTCAGCAAACCATTTACCATTGAACTTGAAAGGGAACACACAAGGTGCACCAAAATTATTTCCTCCTATTGTATACATATCTACGGAGAGAAACAGTTTAATAGCAGTCACTTGGTATCCAATACTAATCACAGGGTTTGTTTACATGCGTCTCTCTGTGGATGTTTTTAATTAACACTCTTAAACAGCCTTGATTTGGCCCTCAGAAAAAAAAAAAAAAATCTGTCAGATTTATTACTTGTCATGTGTGGACTATTATTTCATGACTCAGCTTCTCCCATTGCACAAATTTGTCTCCTCAGATGATGTTTAGGATCTTTTTTTCTTTTCTCTGTATGGTTGGAGAAGGAAATTATCAGAGTATTTTTATTAGTCCACATGAGAGAATGTTATATCAAAGTTTTAACTGTTGGAAAGCAACTATCCAATGTCTACACAGTCTAGTTTGTCTGTATCTGAACAAAATAATGATAAAATTCATTCCAGGTAGAACTGTTTCTTGCTATTTAACCTCTCACCTTACTAGTGTTACAGTAGAAAGGACATTAAACACTTGGGACTGAATGCTAGGTCTGTGTAACCCAAGCAGGATAATAAAGCAGGAAAAGGAGATCCAGATCTCTAGTGTTGAAATCTCCAGCATTCCTATCTAAGTGCAAGATGTTACTGCATTCTAAAGCATTAAAGTCCTGTCTTTTATTTTTGCTTTCTTATGCTTTTTGTTCTTTCTGGACCTGAGAAACACATTCCCATTCTCCTTTTTTAGTTCATCATGAGCCTTTTATTCTTTCATTTGAGAGAATCACACTTTCTGAGATGGGCAGAAAAGTATGCAGTCATGTTAGAGTAGGTACAGAGGAGGGCCACAAAGATGCTGAGAGGGCTGGAGCACCTCCCCTATGAGGAAAGGTTGAGGAAGCTGGGCTTGTTCAGACTGGATAGGAGAAAGCTCTGAGGGGACTTTCCAATATTTAAATGGGGCTTATAAAAAAAGACAAAGACTTTCAACATGGTCTAAGAGTGACATAGGAAAAGAAGATTTAAACTAAAAGAGGAAAGATCAGTTTAGATACTAGGAGGAAATCCCTTGCTCGGAGGGTGGTGAGGCAATGGATTAGGTTGCCCAGAGAAGTTGGGATCCCTGGAGGTGCAAGACAGGCTTTGAGAAATCTGGCCTAGTGGGTGGCAGGCAGTAGGAACAGAATGGTCCTTAATGTCACTTTCAACCTATGCTAGTCTGTGATTCTATGATTCTATGCTATTTGTGTTGCGTTGCTAAGCCACTTTCAGTGAACTGTATTACTGATGTCACTTTTACAAGGACTGCTACTTGACAAGCAGGCAGTTCAATCCATTTAAATAGGGGCAGTTAATTTACCAATAAATATAGAAATTAATTTTCAATACTTACCCTCATAGGGCCTGGAGCATATGCTGCCTGCAGTTCCATGGATTCTCCATCGGCTCCCTTTGCCTGATTCTTTGGACAACCTGATTTTCTTTCCCTTCCCTTTTCCATAGTTGAGAAACAAATCCTTGCCTTGGATTGAAAGTGCTTCACCTTTACATTCCCACCTCTGAAGCTCATTCGTCCTGTTGCAGGTTTCCAATGTGATGGCAGCCTCATCATCCTTGGTGAGCACTCCTAAGCACAGCTTCATCCCCATGCTCAGCAGCTGTGTGGCCGAGATCCATCTGAACCTCTGCAACTCATTTTTCACATTGCACATGGCAGTTATGACTGAGCTGCTGTTTTGAGCTTGGGCACAGAGCTTGCTATCTTCATTATAAATTAAAAATATTCCACTATCTATAAAGCAAAATCAGAATGCAAATTTTTGAGGAGAGCTGCCATAGGAGATAAATCAGTTTCTTGCTATACGACAGTTTGCTACAACAAAAAATAGACATTCAGAGTTGATCGAGAAAGAAATCCAGAGAGTTTCATCAACAGTATGAAAAGCATTCATCACAATATTTTTAAGATACATACAGAATAGAATTTTCTTCTTAAAGCATGCTGTTCTCAAAGTACCATTCAAGAATGAGATTAGATTTAATGACTTAAATGATTAATATGATGACTTAATGATTTAATACGAGATTTAATGACTTACGCAAACTTTCACCACCACACAGCATATTAAACAGGTTTTAATTTTGTGAGTAAAAGGCCTGTTGCATTAGAGGCATGAAAAAAGATTTCCATACTCAACATTCGACCATTTTTACATCTGGCCCAGAATAACATTGTGTTTTGCAACTCAATAAACAAGTGCAGCACTTTACAATTTTAGCTAATAATATCTAGAATTTTTGGCAACCATACAAAAAGTCATTTCTTCACTGAGTCAGAGTTCAGGTTGTGCTTTTCTCAGGAGGAAAACCACAAATTGCAACATCATTGTGAGCACTGGATAACTGTCCTCAGTGCCATTAATAGCTACACTTGTAAATAGAAACGTGAAACATTGCACGACACTCCGAAGAGCTTTGTTTCTGACTACCAATTGCAAAAAATAAGTGGGCAGAATTTCAGCCTGCTCCAAATCTGGAATATTTTTGCTGCTGGCTTTGTATCCCTCAACTCTCCTTAACTGACAGCAATATGACCCAGCTTGCTCTGCTGTGCCATTGAGCTTTCCTGCCACCCCAGTTTTCTTACCAGGAGAGTAATAGATGTGGTTCACAACCCCACATCCCAGCACAGTGGGAAGCAGTCAACTGCTGTGTTGACATTCCTGTAAAAAGCTAAAGATCTGAACAAGCAGATGGCATTCACCCTGGCACAGCTCTGCAGCTGCAGAGGTGCTTCATGCTAGCCAGCTAAGCCTTGCCCAAAAACTTGCAGAGAAGAAACTCACACGTGGTGGATTAGACCAAGGTCACAGGCAGCAGCTTTTAAGGCCCTTTCTAAAGCTGCCAGCCAGGAAATAGGATTCCAGTAAACAACAGTCTATGTGCAACAGCCACGTGAGCTGAATAGGAAACTCAGCACAGACATCAGCCAGTGGTTCCAAGCATGCTGAGAGAACATTGCCCTGTGCACCTGAGCTGATTTGCCCCCCAGTGGAGTACTTTCAGGTCAGCTACATCCACACTCAGCTGGCTGCTTTTCAGGAATCAGCACTGCCTTATTCACACCTGTTGTTTTTTGTTTGTTTATTTGTTTGTTTTACTCATTCACATCCTTGAATACTGGGTTATGAAAACAATGTCTAACATCACCAGATTTAAGAGTTGGAAGAAACTATTCCAAATTACATGCTGGGCTGCAAATAGATTTAAACTTAATCTTGATGAGGAAGGATGACAGAAAAGCAGGAGAAAGATCACTTTCAAAACTCAGCGGAGGACAAAGACTTACCAGAAGCTTGAAGACGCGTACAAAAGGAAAAGAGAAAAATCACAAGAAGGTAAACAGCCATTGCCAGATGTTTTGCCCCTTTCTCCTCTGCAGCTCTAACTCCTGCTGAAGAACAAATTGTGTCTTGCAAGAAAACCCTTCTGCATTGATCCAGGTTAACAAGTCCTTCTAGGTTTTAAGACTCAACTGATACAGGGAAGTTCTGGTCTGCAAATGAGGAACCAAATCACGTCACATATGTAATTTTGAAATAATACCTCAATGAATAAGCTTTACTTTTTAAGCTATTTTCAGTACTGAACGCAAGAGTTTTCTGTGGATATGTTAGTTCTAAGAGGCCACATTTTAGTGAAGATGTTTGGACACGTGCCTTACAACTCAGAATCATTATTTTCAGAGTGAAGTTGACACGAATATCTCTCTAATAAAAATAAAGAAAGTAAAAAAGAAGAATAAGATTGGTCTGATCCAGTAAACAGAATGTAATACGGTACCATGAAAAACGGCTGGAAAAACCAGGCAAATCAGGTAACCATGATCCTAGAATTAGAGAAAAAAAAAAACTGCATTTCAGCATTTCCATAAGAAGAGAAAAGCTGCAGAAGAAGAATCTGTTTTCCTCAGGAGGCACCTATCCCTTCTTTTGTTCTCTACTAGAACATACAGAAGCAGTGCACCCAAACTGACAGCAACAACTGATGAAATTCTGAAAAGAAATGACACAAGTAAGGGAAAAATATAACCTGCCACCAGAAAATGATAGATTTTCAATTATCAGAAAAGAGGGAAACTAAACTGATAAGGGATACTGCCACATTTTTCATCCATCTGGTCTGTGAAAGTTTCCACATCCTAAAGTACACTCTGTTCAGACATTCTGACAAAATTCTGCTTTCTACTTTGAGAAAAACCCTCTGCTTTATAGTAGGCAAAATCATTAGAAATACATAGAGGTTGAGGAAGCAGTAACACACCTGTGGTGCGTTTACAACACTTTTTGAATTCTCAAACTCTTGAATATGGCCTTTGAAAAATCTCCACCTCCGTATCTTCAGGAAAGGCTGGTTTGGGATAAGTTCCCTGACGTTCTATTTACAGAAAGTACCCCTTAAGGTCCATCAGTGCTATGGAAGCTAAAATAAGACTTACCCTGAAAAATTGCTGCTATTGTAGGCAAAGGAAACCCTGGATACCTACATGAAGAGCTGGGACCCTGTTTCTGTTGCTCTGATTCAGATGCAAATGAATAACATTGGGAGATCAAGAATTACAATGCTGAGAAAACAATGGGACTAGTGGGCAAGAAAAAGGGACCAAAAAGCAAGAACCAACAGGAGAATTGTTAGGAGGATTGTTGTCAATTATCTGCTGAGAGAAGCTGAAAAAAGATACTGAGGTCAGTTTCACCACCATGGTTGTCTGAAAAGAGCCTGTCACAGCCAAAAAATTGAGAAAGAAGATCAGAAGACAGCAGAGAGGCACTACGCTCAGAAAAGCAGCACTGAGTTTTGTGTGGAGTCAGCGTTGTTCCTTTGGCAATCTCTGCTCCCAAGCAGGAAGTTACACTGTGCAGATTCACCATCTTCTCTCTGAAGTCAGAACTCTTCTGCAAAAAAGAGGAAACAGAAACAAAGCGCAAGAAATGCAGCAGGATGCAAAGAGGCAAGGCAAACTTTTACACGCTATCAACAATTACCATCAAGTCATTCTTCAGTTACTACCACAGAAATGAATGGGTGAGTCCATGCAGGTTCTACAAGATGTGTCCCTAAAGTTGAACAATTCATTTTTGAAAAGCATCGTTATAAGTATCTAGAAAAATAATTTTAAAAAAGTAAAATAAAATAAAATGTGATAATTTATCCTGTTTGATGTAAAATTTCTACTCAGAATCCTCATATAAAGAGCAAAATCACAAAGCTTCCAATTCAGACAAAGGGTTTTTTTAATGCCAAAACCAAAATTCTTTGTAGAAATGTTCTATGCTAACAAACAGAGGGAACAAGATTTACATTTCTGTAGATAGGTTCAGAGTGTACTGAAAGAGCAACAAAAAGCACCTGGCATTTTCATGCTATATTTTCAAGATACATCATCTTTATTTTTCATTCATCTCCCTGAAGCACCAGGACAAAATGTAAGAAAGCTCAGCAGAATCAGAGAGTTATGGAAATGAGCTAGTAAGGATCACCTAAAAAGTCTCTTTTGCTTCTCTATCCATCCTTTCTCTTTAACCTTTTCAATCAAGATTTTTTTTTGTTTTTGTTTTTGTTTTTGTTTGTTTGTTTTAGCTTTTTTTTAGTAGCTGGATCTACTCAGGACACAAAGTAGGAGAACACAAAAGCAACAAGGGTGCTTAGAAGAGAAGACTGCTTCCATAAGAAATAACAGCCTGTAGCAAAGAATGACTGAAAGAAATGGTGATATGACAATCAATAAGATGCATTGATTTTATTCATGTATATAGAGCAACATGAACAGTTTACCAAGCCCAGTCTTGGAAACTTTTCTAAGCATTTAGTCACTTGTCAGGAATACGATAGCTTAGCAGCAGGAAAGGAGGACATGTTGCCAGATCACCAAATAATGTTCAATTAAATTACTGCAATCCAGCTCAGTCCTGGTTAGACTGAAATAACAAGATATTTCTCTTTCCACATTCTCTTGAGAACTACTCTCCCCAATGTTTCTTGAAGATTTATATGACCAAAGAAATTATGATTTTAAAAACTTTGCGCTCCTGTATTCAGTCTAACAGAAACCATGTGAAAGATGGAGAAAAAAAAAAAATAAAAGGAAATTGAAATGATCACAAGTCCATTTCATCTTACGTTAATTAGATATTGTTTAAAGTAATCAAGTTGTTTTCTCTGCTTTCCATTCAAAAATTGAAAAATTGTCAAATTGTCATTACTATATACATCATATATAGAGTATAAATGTTCATCTTAAGCTAACTAAATGGAACTTAAATGATGTTCTGTGCTATAAATGCCACTGCTTTCATGTTTGCTCTTTCTCATAGGAGATTTGCTCCAATCCCATTGAAGTGTAATTGGAAAGACAGTAAAACATGCAGCTTAAATATCATATTTCTCCAAAAATCTTACATGTCTTAGAGTAGAACAGAAACAGCATTACACAGAAGTAGCTACACCTAATGCTGGCTATTAAGTGGTATTTAGCTGAGAATGAGTAAATGAATTCAGAATAAGCAAGGCTCCAGAAGCTGCGTTCTCTCCCTGCCAGTTTTTAGCTGTAGAGATGTACCTACAAAGTATGACAGAGAATGAGGAAATGAGACATCTCTTCAATCTTTGTTTTCTTTCCACTAATACATCGGCACACATACACATGACAAAATGTTGTCCAGAAGAATCATTGGCTGTGAGCTGAGGTCTTTAGGACTGTGAAGGGTCTCAGAACAGGACTGAACTTCTTTTGGATAGAAAATGCACCAATTTGCTTTTGTACAACAGCCAGTGCAATAAGGCTGGGATTCCAATCACAGCCTCTTGGCATTTCACTACTGCTTTCACATATGTTTCCTTCTGTTTCAATAATATTGTTGAAATATCATGATCTTTAGCATCATTAATCCAAGTTGAACAGGAAGTTTCTAGTTGGTAAACCACACCAGCTGGGATGAAAAACCATTAGAAGTAATAATATTCAAAACCATTAGAAGTAATAATCTTCAAACAGACAAGTTCGAACAAATGTGTGTTAAAAAAGAGAATAGCAGAAGAAATATCTGCTATTATTATTAAAAAAGGACACGGGCAGAAAGAGAAAAGGGACTCCAGGAGAGATTTCCCCATCTTCACTACATGAATATAAAATCCAGATCATTAAGCCGGCATTTTGGACTCAGTTTTAAGCATATAATCCATGCATAGATACAGGAAAATACAGTTGTTATTTAATCACAGTTCAGATTAGAATGTCTCCAGGATTGTGTCTTCTATTTAAGTTTATCCTATCTTACATAGGATAAACTTACATAGTCTTACATAGGCAAGACTATAAAATGCAAAACCATTTAAAAATCAAAGCTAGCTACTGTTTATTTTACAGAACAAACATGAAACCACAAAATCAAATATCATACACCTTTATATGTGAATGAGGAATCGCATATGATTTGTGTTTTATAAGATTTGAAAAAATTAGAAATAGAAACCCCGCATTTGGAAATTTAAGAATTATGTAAATGGTAACTGATCTAAGCATTTCTGAAAGGAAACAAAGTCAGTACTAATGGATACATTGGTTAAGGCAAAATTTCTCCTGACTTCCAGCAAACACCTCGCAAATCTGTGCCATTGATTGTGAGAGTATAAAAAAGTAACATGTGATTATCAAAACACAATGTTCCTACAAGCCTTCAGAATGCATACTGGTAATGTTCCCCCTCCCCCTCATTAACTGCCCTGATAAGAAGGAAATTTTGCTGTTAACTTTATTGCCTCTCCCAGAAAAGTCCACTTGTAGCCAGCAAGAACTCCAGCCAACCAAGCTTTTTCCATTTCAAAGGCCTGCCTCCCATTTTTACCTGATCAAATCACAGAAGAGATAAGCAACGAGAACTAAACACTTGTTCTCCACACTGCATGAAATCACAGGAATTGGAATTTCGCTATGAAAGGATTTTTTCAGACTCTTGGTTTCAAAGAGGATGTCTAAACACAGGTTTGTTACTTAGCAACTATCACTGTAGTTATGCCACTGGGAATACTTGAGTCCTGGCAGAATTAGAGATGTTTGTTGAATAGCTTGAAGAATCTGTGTATCACTACATGGTCTTAACTGATTTTGGTGCAGAAATTTCAAATGTTAACAGCTTTCTTAAGAGAATCTACCTAAATTCCACTTTCTTTACTGCATCCATTTCTATTGTTCCATTTAATAATTAGCACTATCTTTTTCCTAAGATCATGAGATCTGAAATCTTACACAAGTTATGAAATAAACATGATGCTGTACGTAATATTATGCACACACTGAAACTGGCTAATACAGTATTTGCACTGAGAAAATATGCAACTGTAGTTGCATAATTTTATTAAAACAAGGCACATTACATTACGTATTACATTACATATTACATCAATTTTGTTATACTATAGTGTCGCATGTTCATTCCGTTCTATGTTGGTCACAAGATCCTTTGTGTCTCCAGTTCCATCACTATTAAAATACAAGTTGTTCTCAAAGCTGTCATTTGTTGACAAACGATTCTTTCTTCTTTTGTAGAAGAGATAGCCTGCAAGGCTGCTTCCAGCAAGGATGATGATGACAACAATAACTACAATTCCTGTTTTACCATGGCTTAGAGTAGGGGCCTCCTCATCCTTCGTCATTGCTGAAAACAAATATAAATAATAAGTTGATTTTAAAAAGCTAGCTACATTTCATATCACAAATTTTTATTTTAAAGTTTTGTTCAGATACTCATTGGAGTATATCATTGTCTACTAGGAAATAATGTGCTCCTATGAAACACCCAACTACTTGGAAAAGGTAGGAATATGTAGAAGATCCTACAGAAAATGTAGGATGCATGATATAAAATATGATTTATTTTTTTTTTTAATGATCTTCCACTGGATACTTTTTTGTCTACCTAAAAGAAAATAAGCAAGTATCCTTACCCTTTGTAGGCATTTCAGCTGGTGGCATTTCAGCTGATGGCAGTATTTCAGTTGCTGGTGTTTTGAAACATTGAAGAAGAATTATGTTATTATTACTTTTTTATTTATTTGTTTTATATTAAAATTATGTGATTTGAAGAATCATAGTGAAAATCATATTCAGAAAAAAATACAGTAATACAAATCTCACACAAAGCTCTACACATATATCAAAAGTCAAAGCGCAGTGGTCTATAGTGCTATGGTCTCTCATGTATGAATTTACATAAACTAGCAGGATAAATATACCAAATTGAACATCAAAGAACATCAATGAACACTATGGGGGCAGATTCCCACAACAGTGGAAAACCACAAGAAAAGCTATACAGCTTCTTTAGGACAGACATGCTCAAACACGATCCTCAGTACAATCATAAATCCTTGTAGTACTCATCATTCTACATATTAATAGCAAATATATTTATTTTGCTAAGAGATGACTTGCCTCTACAGACAATTAAGTCTATTCCTGAACTCCAAAGTGTCTTAGCATGTACTGTGTTCAGTTCTGAGCTCTACAGTTCAAGAAAGATAGGAAACTTCTAGAGAGAGAGCACTGAAGAACTTCTAAGATGATGAGGGTACTGGAGCATCTCCCTTATGAGGAAAGACTGAGAGACTTCAGCCTGGAGAAGAGAAGTCTCTGAGGGTATCTAATCAATGCTCGTAAATTTGAAGGACAAGCACCAAGAGGATGGGGCTAGGCTCTTTCCAGTGATAGGGCAAGGGGCAATGGGTACAAACTGGAACACTGCAAGTTCCATGAGGAAAAAGTTCTTTACTTGAGAGTGACAGAGCACTGGAGCAGACTACCTGGAGAGTCTGTGGAGTTGCCTTCTCTGGAGATATTCAAGACCTGCCTGGACACTTTCCTGGGCAACCTCCTGGAGGAACCTGCCTTAGGCAGGAAGTTGTACTAGACAATCTCCAGAGACCCCTCCGAATCCCTACAATTCTGTGATTCTCTGACATCTTATAGTGAAATGCCATGAACATAATATTCCTAACCAAGTCCAATCCACTAGCACCTGTAGAACTGATGAACTGTTGTTTAAACTACCTACTTATTTACAAAACTATAAGTTAGATTATTCATGCAATAGATCAGCTCCAAAATTTCAAGTTACTGAGATAATTTCTACTTTAGCAAGTGGAACAGGAAATAGCATCTATTTTACAGAAAAATTTCAGTCAGTTTTGCATTTGCAACCTTTTCAGAAAGTAGCAAACATTGCAAGGCACTGTGAAAGAAACTAAGTAAAATGATGCTTCTAACACTCCATTTAGTACTACCACAGTTTTGCAAAATTCTGCTGACCTAAGCTACATTACTACAGCAGCATAAGACTCAAACAAGACCTGTCCCTCAGTGAGCAACTACGTAGTCCTTGCATTGATACTGGCATTGCACTGACTCAGTAACATTCCAGCTCAGGAAACTAGATTGGTTGAAGCTGATCAAAACTATTTTTCACCTGTTTCACCTCTCAGAATTGGTTTAGTATCAGAACAGGTGAATAACAGTGTCAGTAAAAAGAAGAGACGTGAATGGTTGAAAAGAAAGGGGAGGCCATTAATTGCAACATTTGTTATTTGCCTCTATGAATATTTTAGTACAAGAATGAAAATAAATTGTCCTTTCATTTTCCAGTCACAATGTAAAAAGACAGTAAACTCTGAATGGATGACTAAGCCCAACAGTTCTACAGTATTTCCTGTGAAAGATACAGTCACCGTTACAAGTATCTGAGTAAGTCACGAAAATGCAGCATGAAAGCAAATTCTTAGGAAGGACAGCAGAATTTCTCTCATTTTAGGCAACTGAACATCTCAGCCCCTAAATGTATTTTGTTCTCCTCAATAAATATTAGTAAGAGATTGTAGATATCGCAATACAAACTGGAAGAAATGAGTGGTATGAGTTTCAGGAAAACATATGCCCTAAATGTGCCAGATTTGCACATTCTGTTATTTCAGGAACATTATAGTTCATTACATACAAACTATGCTATTTGCCTTAATTTTCATTTGCCTTCTCAAAACAGCAAAACAGAGATAAAATACCAAAATTGATTGTTAATTCACAATTCAAAAATAATCAATTAACAGAAGAACTGCTTTACACTGGGAAATAACACACATATGAGCCTGCCAGATGGAAACGAGTAAAGGTTATCCCCCCGTACTAAAAAGAGGGGATTTCTTGAGGAATATATTTTCAAATAAACTAATTTGTGTGTGCAAAGAACATTAACAACATGATAACTGAACAACTGTCAACACAAAACAGGCAGACTCGTAAAGGGCATACACTAGGAACAGCTGAGATAGAAACAGAATATTTTCAAAACAATTCAAAGGGATCTAAATGCTAATCAGCCCTTCTACTTTCCTACAAGAGTTATTCTTTCTTTCTGTTGGCATGCAAATGCTGTTCTCTTATTTATAAAAACCCAAAATGCTCAGCTAAAATGCACTGTGTGTAAAAGTCATCTACTAATACTAGCACACAATAAGAATACTCCTTACATTAAAAAAATATAAACACAGCACTTACTTTTTAGCTTTTTACAAACATAGCCTTTGTAGGAAGTGCAATAGATATTATTCCAGTATCCAGAGTTTGCATACATTTCAACGCAGTGCTCATTTTGTTGAGGGGAAGGCTCTCCTGTATTCCAGTTGACAAAATTCACCGCAGTGTTGTCTAGCCACAGCCATTCCCCTAAGTGGGAAAATATTGAACACACTCAAAAACAAGATAGTATTCATTTTCTGCTCTGCGTTTATTGCCTTCTTGAGAAATCTACTTGATTACTAGCTTTCCCTATTACCTTTTCTAATTTCTCTTGAAATGCAATAGAGAAGCGTAATATAAAAATTTTTAACACCTATACCAAACAGTTTATGGCAATTATTCATTAAAAAAAAAAAAAAAAAGTCGAAATTAAAGAAATTACCATCTACATTTCTGTACATTCCAGTCCAAAATGTTGATGTCTTCCCTTCAAGTGGTTCAATTATGTATGTCAGAAAGCTGGCTTCAGCTGAGTCTTCAACTGATACCAAAGAGGCACCTGCAATATCCAAAGAGAACAAAGATCTCAAAGTCTTACAGTGCAATGCACTCTTGTTGTCAATCTTATTTTCACCACTGACAATCTGTGCCAAGTTCCAGGTAGGTTTTGCAATTCAGAATAAAACCTAATTTTTGATAATATCAAATGAAGAACTCATGTATTTTTGCTGATGTATTTCTTACCATAGCTAAGGCATTGCACTAGCACTATTTTCTCATCACTGGGAAATAGCAACAAAACTGAAAAACAGCTCAGGGAAAAATACAAGCCAATATGTTACACAGTAATAATTTCTACTGATGTTTTAATATTAAGAAGTCTCGACACAAAAATCACAAGATTAAAGTAAAAAGTAGCTGTCTCTTCAGTCTGCGCACAATTTAACTTCACATATTGATGATTAAGTATTTTCCAAGGCTTTATATAGATCATGTATAGCACATTTGCTGGCTTTCTGAAGCACAATCATCTCTGAAACTCTTCAACTAGGTCTTGTTTATTTCCCTATATTCTGACTGCAGTCATTATAGAAAGAAAAATCATGCTGGTCATCTGTTGCCCAGTTAGCATGGTAGATATCCCGTTAGTCATTCACATACAATACTAGGCATTCTGCCATAATGATTCATTCTGTTTGATGCTGTGGCAAAGTCAAGACATCACAGCATGAAGCTTGCAGTGTGCCAGCAGAGAGAATGAACTATGTAACCTTGTTTGGAATGCCATTAAACACTAAATGAAGACCATCTTCAGCTCTATTCTGTGTGAGTCTACAATCCAGTCAATACTACAATGGTTGCTTTGATTGGGCTACTGAATATTTGAAGGTATTTTTCTCAGGTAAGGAAGGTAGAGTTAAAAAGAATGAAAATATGAAAGAAATGGGGAGTACTCTTGAGCTAAATTCTAAAAATTCTATTGTGGATGAGATATAATTGGAAAATGCCCAACTGCAAACAAAAAACAGAGTGCAAGTAGGGACAGCAAAATATAGGAGAACACGAACGTTCCTCTTTTTTCACTGTAGTCTTCATGTTTTTCTACTTGTTCCTCTTTTGCAGAATGATTCATATATTTTGTTACTGTTACATTTGTCATGAAAAAACTTCTCTACACATCCTAAACACAGAGAGACATTAGCAGAGGTGGTACCCAAAGAAGTACCATTCGTTGGCTACTCCTGATTAATCAAAGAAGCCGTCAGCCCACCAAAGACCACTTTTCCCAAGCCCAGAGAAGCAAGAGGGAGAACTCAAATTATGGACTAGAGAAAGGTACACCATCCTGTACAGTTCTGTTCTAGGGCCGCTATACAACAGCCTCAGCACCAGTGTCCAAGCATTAAAGACATCAAGGCAAATAAATGGCGAGTTGAATATGAGTCAACTGCATGCCCTGACAGCCAAAAGGGCCAACCACATTGTAGAGCATATCATGCAGAGAATAGTGAGCTAATCAAGGAAGTGACTGCCCCACTCTGCTCTACAGTGGTGCAGCCTTAACTTGGGCTTTGGGCGCAGGCCTAGGCACCACAATATAAGAAGGAAATTTAACTATCAGGATTCAAAACAGGAATAATCAAAGTGAAAATCATATCAGGTATGCAAATGATAAACAATTCCACTAAACCAAGATTTAGCAATTGCTATTTTGTGATGAGGTTGACTATCTCCTCGCAGGGCCAAAGGACAAAGTTTCCTCTTTTTGACCTCCACTCCAGGCCACATAGCTCTTCTAATGCCTGGCACACATAAAAGGCAGCATGCACCAGTGGTAGACAGCTATTTTCCATCATCTCAGGTAATAATTAGATTTAACTATCCAACACTTGGACCATTCTTGAAATCACAAAATGTATATTGCATGTTCAGCTTTTCACAGAGAGAAAAAAGTCCAAAAGATGAGCTCTTTAATTGATTATACTTACCCAGTCGAAGACATTCTAATGATGCCTGAGCCCAGTTCCTTGTTGATGAAGATTCTATATAGTAACAATGACCTCGGAAAGGAATCCAAGAACGGTGTCCTTCTGATTCAGGACACTTCCCTGGAAGCTGAGGGGGCTCAGTAGGAGCTTGAACTGTTAAAAAGAAAAAGAAGGAAAGGGAAAGGAAAAAGTTTACAAACACATTGTCCTATACATTCTTTTATCACAGACTATTCTAACAAAAAATTGGAAAACTTATTCAAGTGTTTAACAAAAGTTAACTTGACAGTCTGTACTGCTTACTGCAACACAACAGTAAAATGTCCTTAATCTATGAAAAAAAGTATTTCAACTGCAGCCTTGAGAAATCCAATTTATCAAAGAACCCTATCACACTGTTATGCTTTAACACATTTTTGTCTCTACTCTTTAGTCACTGTAATAGCTAATTTGGGGGGGGGGAGGAGGAGTGGGGAAGAAGAAAAGATTTGAAGGAGCATCTGTAAACTTTTCAGTAATTTCAATGTAATTTATTGTTCAGCTATAAAGGAAAAACCTGGAAAGCTGCTAAGAGAAAACACCTCGTGTAACTCCTTATGGCTTAGTCACTCAGCCATTCTCCTTTAACACCATACCAGTGTGGCCGCTATTCATTACCTTTTGATTCAAGTTCCTTCATTTTTTTTAACATGATGATATCAGAATAAAATTTATATATAACTATTAATGTAAAGCAATGGCTACTCAGTCACACTAGCTTTGTTTTTTTGTGTTGGCCCTCACTTTAAGGCAAGTTCTTTAATTTCAATTAAATTTAAATAATTTCATTTGTTTTGTTCTTGAAATAAAACACAGCATCTTAATACATATCAACATACCACCCAGCACGATTAACTAGACAATCAATACAATTGCAATAGTTAGATTCCAGTTCTTACCATCAGGCTTTTTGCAAACAGAGAAGTAACTTTCATTGCAGGATCCCGTCTTCCAGGATCCAGAAATGTCTAGATAAACACAGCCTATTTTTTGCTTTGGCTCTCCTTCAGCCCACTTAGTATACTTCATTCTCCAGTTATCAATCCATTCATAACGCCCATTTGTCTGAAAGCAAAACCCCAGGAATTCAGTATTAACCATTTCTTTGTCAGTTAAATGTCTGTTATGAAGATGCCTGTGCAAGAAGTTTTCATTTAGGGCAAAAAATGATTTTTAGCAAAAAGAAGTGCAGAGTAAGTGACACTGAATGAACTCTAAAATTAACAAAACTCTTAACTTGAATTTACTAATAATTTAACTTAAAATAGTTTTTAGGAGTAAAGTGGGAAGAGTAATTTTTTTCCCCTTGGGCTTCAAGAAATATACAATATTTTATGTTAAAGTACATTTAAAAACTATTTATCTCCTACCTATGCTTGTGAAAGCAACTGAATAATTTAGTTTAGTAAGTATGAAGAATATTTTATTATTTAAGAAATGATATATTGTGCCCACTAGTTTTTACTGCCTTTGTATGTTAAGCCAAATGGAGGGAATGCGGGACCAGTGCCTTCGCTGAGCAGAAAAGAAGGCTTAATTTAATACAAGAATGTACCTGAATATCAAGGAAATGGGAGAAGGCAGACAAATAAAATAAGATAAATCAATTATTTAATAATTTGGCTAACTATCATCAAAACGTTGGAAGAGTTACTGTAACAGAACCAATGTTACCTTAGAATAAATGATTTTCACTGTACATCTTAAAATACATGGATTTTATCTCAAAATAAACACTATACACTCTCTACAAAGAGATAATTCAAAATGCTAGCCTGGAATGTATTGTTTGGAAATGCATAGAGCTTAATGTCATAGAAAAAGTACTAAAAGTTTGTATGCTGCATACAATTTAGGAAGAGTAATGGAAGAGTAGAGATCTCTACCTGTAGATCTGACAGTAAAAAAAGTATTTAGGGCCAAGATATTAATTTATAAGTTAAAAATATAAAGATGTAATATGACTTTGCATTTTCTAATTTTTCCTTAAGAAAAGCAACAGCACACTCAAATAATTTGATGCTCTTACCACATTACTGTTAAGGCCAATCCATATAGGTACCCCATACTTTAATATCTTTAGCCACAGGAATGAATGACTGTAGGGGTCTAAGATGCTGGAAAGGTCAAACTGATCACGTTTGCAGTTTTCTCGTGCATCTTCCCAATTCATTTTAGTACGGATGAACAAATAACTACTGTTCCCATAACGGATAATGCTTTTTGGGTCTGTAGTTGTAGAAGGGATAAACTCAGCATCTGTACAATACAGGAAGAAAAAACAGCTCATATACTAGTCCAACAGGTGATTATGATTTGCTTTTAATTGTAAATAAGATACAGCATCCTGTCTCTTTCCTACATTTCATATTCCCTGACCACCATGGGTTGAACATGCTATTCTGTAGGCCAGACTCTGTAATAAAAATCAATTACAGAGCTATCAAAAGGAAAAAAGCTGTCTAGAGCAACTCACGACAAAAAGTGAAGGAGCATTCTGTGTAATCTTCCAGAACAGTATAATTTAAATTGGGAATAACAACTTAAATGAATTGGGAATAGAGTATGACACAACTTTTCATCAACAGAAATGCTTTGCTTGTTGTTTTCAAGAGATCTTTTTGCCAGAGAAAATGTAAACTACAAAATAGACCAGCTCTTACAAATCAATCTGATATTTAAAGTCAGGTTTCATTGTTTTTAGTTTCCTAAAAACTAGATCAGGTAGATCAGCTCAAGCTCATTGTGAATGAGTTACATTCACACTCTAGACAGTTCATGCAGCTTGTACAATTCAGCATTCCCCAGAATACATTCTAAAAACCAATATGTTCAGAAAATGACTGACAAAAATCACAGAACAATTATCATTTGGATATATTTCTGATATATCAGTTTCTTAAAATGCATTGTTTTAAGCTATAATACTATGCACAGCAAAATTAGAACTGCTACTGCTGAAAAGCAACCATTGATCTGCAGGTACCACCCTTACAGTGAAATTTCATACTAAACACGAATACTTAGATATAAATTCCAGCTCAGGAAGTTAGTAACACAGCATTTACTGGGAGGAATCAGCTGGGAGTAGTCTTTAAGTCGACCTTTCGTCTGACAAACATGATACTGATGTTCCTGACTGAAAAGCAATTTGTTGATGTATCTTTATTAAGAATGAAATCATGTTGAAATCCAGCACTTAACACCTCAGCAAGATCCTGCAAACTCATAAGCTTTGATTATACTTTAAAAGAAAACAGCAATACCTGCTTTAATTTGGCATATATATCCTCTGTTGTTATCACAACTCTCATCAGCCCACTTCCCTGCTTCCTTAACAGGATTATTTCTCATGACAACACAATCAGCCTTGGGGCAAGAAGATACAAAATCAGTTACAAATAACTAGAAAATATAAATAAGAAACTTCAGTCTCTCATTTTTGTCTTCACACAGAAATAACATTCTAATTTTATTTTCATATCTTCATAAGTTTTTAATGATGTGGAGTTTCTGTTCCTCTTGCCACTTTGTGAGTTTCTTAATGTTGCTCTATCTTGAGCAACTTGCGGTAAATAGGCAGACAAGAACTTTCTGGACCCCCCCCCCATCTCCGGGCATACAGCATGAAGAAAAGGAAAGCCACAGACAATTTAAAGAGAAATTAAATCAACTACTGTAGAAAAGATTAACTTTGTTCAAGAGAAAAAAAAAAACAAAAAAAAAAACACAGGAACTTCAATGGACAATGTCACATTTCTGAAATATCAGTCTCTTTAAATTTCTTATTGCAAGCTATAATACTAGGCAGCAAACTCAGGACAAATGCTACTCAAAGGCAGCCTTTGAGTAGCACCTTTACAGTGAAATTTCAAATTCTACTACAGGGACACAGTATCTAGAAACTTTGTTAGCACATATTAAACAAAGACTGTCTAATACACTATTTTCTTAGTAAATTTTGCTATCCAGCAAAAACTACACAAAGAAAAACTTATAGTAATACATAGTAAGTAAAATGCACTAACATTTAAATATCTCCAATTGAAAAGCTGCAAAGTGCTTTTATAAACTATGATATGTTCTTTCTTTTTGCTGAGGTGAAGTAAAAATAAATTTGAAATTTATAAAATAGAGACTAAAATTTTTCACAGGTGACTTCACAGAAATCCTAATACTTCTCATTAAAAGAGAAAAAAAATTTCCCTAATAAGGATACGAAGCTCAGAGGTGATACCTTCAAAAACAGGAAAAGAACATTATACATAAAACTAAGATTTCTGTGGTGAAAACTTCAATCAAGAGAAAATACAGTTAATAGTGTAATTGAGAACTATGTAAATCGCATAAGATTAGCAAGAGGGATCTATGACCTATGAAATTAGTTTGTATGACAACGAAATAGGGGAAGTTTTGTTTTGCTTTTTTTTTCATGAAACTGGAATGTCTAGCTTTTTACAAAGCTACATCCTTCCTACAAATGTGACTGACAAAATTTGCTTGTATGTACAACAGGGAATGTTTTTCTGTAACTACATATTGCAAGCTGCACACCAACTGAGAAACCCCCTACATTCAAGGCATTGCAATGGACAAGGAAGATGTGTTTATTCAGCACACTATTTGGACAGTGTCACAAGGTGGGAATCTCAGTCTTTTCAACAAAGCCTGAGAAAAGGCAGGGCAAATACAGGTGCTCTGGAGCCTTCAAGGACATATAGAAATGAAACCTGAAAGCAATCTTTGCATAAGCACTATAGCACATAGCACCTGTCAACAGCTAACACAGCAATTTATTGGATTTGTATTGTAAGGTTTGTAAGTGATCATTTTATCAGTGCAACACGTAACACCATGAATAACACCTGAAGTAATGCTTAAAAATGCCAGGTTTCTGGGGAAAAAAAAAGAAGACCAACTACGGTGAGGTCAGTGCTGCTAGTAAATTCTATAGATATGAAACTAGTAAACTGAGCAGTAAAGTTTCAAATCCCAGCAAATGCCTAAACGCATAATCTAAAAGCACTTATCAATGGACAGCTTGTGATTGCTATTTACCTGGCCATCGTATGAGTAGGATCCCATATGTCCTGATGGGAAGCCTTTGGCCCAATTTGTAAAGTAAACTCCTGTTCCATCTGTCCAGAGGAACTTCAGTTCATGATTTATATCATTTAATCCAATCCATGTGTCAGTAAGAAAATCTTTCATATGGAAGGTGAGGAAAGCTAGAGTTGAAGAAAATAATAATTAAAAAAAAGAAAAAGAAAGAAAACAAGAAATATTTTCCATGAAGGGTGATTGAACCTAGGTGTCAGACCTCATTGTCATTAATGGCATCTGGTGATATTAAGTATTTTACTAAAATAAAGAACAGTTTATTACTGGCAAGACAAATAGATATGCTAAAAAGGAGGGGACTTTTGAATTTAACAGATAACCAACACATACACCTGTTGCAACATACTCGAGCTAAACATCTAACCTTGTAGTGGGATGAATTCCAAAAGTGTAACAGGAATAATTTTATAGGGTCTCAAAACATTTTTGAATCCCAATTCTACAACTGATTTAGAAATATGAAGTGGTGTAGATTATATACATTTTTTATAATCCCACCAGAGTGGTTATGTTACTGTGGCATCATAGAGACAACACAACTGAGCATTAGCCACTCATGCAGCTGCATTTATAATAGCAGAACTGTTTCCTCACTGGAGAAAGCGTAGTAAGTAGCCTGAACTGCCATAATAAGCAACAGAATGTACGAGAGAGATGCTTTAAAATGAGTCTCAGAAGAGCAATTACCACTGCTTTGCAAATTCCAAGAAGGTGCTTGTTTATCCTAGCTAGTACGGGTAGATGAAAAACAGAGCAGGCTAGGTCAGCTGGCATTCATCAGCCCACTAGACCACAGTAAACTGAACAGTTTGCTAAAATAAAATTGCTAAAATAAAATTATGATGCTTTTTGCCAATTGCTAGTCAACATTATGAGCTCATTCTTCTCTAAAAATAGATAAATTTGTCTACTCTACCTACACATCTTCTTTCAGTCTTTTAAAATGAATGCAACTTACTTAACATTTCCAAGAGTAAGACCAATAAACTTCCATGCTTAATGTTAGCATTGCTGCTCTGCAAGAAACTATAACAAGAACTCAAGTCTTTATACCTACACTATCAGCAGTAACAATAGTTTAATTGGTCATTTGTAGTTTTATTGATCATTTCATTCTTTCCCAGAATTCAAGCCCTGCATGAGTCATCTGAGAAACTGTAGTTTTATGTTAGAATAGAATTTAATCATGCTCAATAAATCTGTGAAATTTTGACTCTTTATCTCTTCAAGGATGGAAAAAATTAAGTAGTGCTAAGTTCATGTTAGCAATCTAACATTTTAGCTAATTAACTAGTTAAACTAGTTATCTCCTCAAAGTGCAACTTGTTTTACAAAATATAATTTTTCAGATCTTTTGAGTTCACAAATAGTATGCATTATGCAGTATCTATTTCTCAGTGTAGTTTAAAACAATATTTCTAAAGAGAAGTTATTAACATCTATCAAAATCTCTCCTAATTTAATGCATCATTTTTATTCAAGCATGGGATATCTGCCCACTTACCCAATCAACAATGTGATTCTTGTAATCATTAAAACAAGCTTCTCTAGTGAAAAGAATGATGCAACTATGAAGTGAGTAATGGCTAGGTGTATGATCAGTCAAATCCGTGCCCTAAACTGCCCAGAGACAGCAAGTTTTAATCCCAAAGGCATACTGCTTGAGTTACAGTGGAAAGCCTTGCAGTGAGTTAACGCCAACTGGTAAAACTACATCACTTGGAATGAAACTTGCTGGGTCCAGCTGGCATCATGTGCAGGCAGAAAAAGCACTACTTAGGTCACCAAGATAATATGTATGCATCTCTAAGCCAATAGTAGAATTTGGTAGATTCAGGTGCAGATTTCACTGTAAACTTCTAAGTATTGTATGTTGTGGAACCAAAATCAGATGCAAAGAAATCATTCAAATGTTGTCCATGTTTACACAAATATAACCATCTGTAAAAACTAAATGTCATCTCATCTGGTTGATACAGAACTATTTGCAGTACCTTGCACTTGTTCATTAGGGATAGCAGCCAGGTTTCCTCCTAAATTCATGCAAGCTGTTCGTGCGGCATGCCAAGTGACACGTTCATCTTCTGAAGATCCAAATATTTTGTAACACTAAAACGTGAACAAATCCTCTATTTATTACCTTTACTCCAACATCACTTACAGATTGAACATCGTTTCAAGCAAAGCAGGAAGCAGAAAATGTGGTGAAATAACAGATTTAACTGGGACAAAACACATTCTGCTCAAAATGAACTTTTGAATTTGGTCCATTCTCTGGGTAAAATGTAAAGTTTCAAGAAAACATTCTCCTAAACAAGACGCATACTAGATTTCATTCGAAATTGGTGGAAAATAAGCAAAACCTGACTTTTAATGACAGACAACTAATATTGATAGCTCTACAAGACCAATATCAATCCATTAGTTTGTTTGTATTTTTATTTTTTTTATATAATTTGACTCGACAAAACTTTTCACAGTTCTACAGTCAAGAAAGGCAAAATATATTCATTACTGAAAGAGCATTATAATTTGATTAAAACATATGACCAAAGCGTCAATACTTCAAGAACTATATCTAAATTCTTTAGGAAATGCACTAAAAAAGGCTTGAAGAGAAGTCTAAATGACTTTCATAAACTGCAACTAAATACGTTTATATATCACTTCTAATGAAGTGTCAAAAAGCAAAATAGTGAATGGGCAAACAAAGAAAAACACGTAGACATAAACCAGCTCTCTGGAAAAAAATAACAATGTTACTGCAATAAGAAACAACGTTATTAAATCTCTTTCCTTTTATTTAATGTTTTGCCAAACATCCAACATGCTCTGCATTTGTTATAGTACCTTATTCTGAAAGGAAAGCCAAGTTGGATTACATCCTCTTGGAGTTGAAAATGTTGTTGGAGGAAGTGTGGAATTAATGGAACTGTTGTGCCTTTCACATATGTAGGGATTTGGATAACCACAATTTATATCATTCCAAAATCCTAAGTGTGAGATAAAAAGGGGGACTGTATGTTGCCATATCCAGAATTAGTTAGATCAAAATAATTTCCACTCATTCTGAAACAAAGGTGAAAGATCAAATCCAAAGTCCTCAGTTTATTATCATTCTATATCAAAATCTAGGATAAATATGGCACTTTAGACATGCTGTCATGAACATTGAAAGCAACATAGAAACAAGTAGAGTTCTATAGCGACACAGTAAGTCATTTTCATTTAAAAATATAAAACAGTTGCATAGCAATCATAACCACAAACTTCTATCTGAGCTTCCCCATGTTATACTTAAGATAAACATAGGAACTGAGAAATGTTAAGTCCAAACTATAATACTGTGGTCTTTTGCAACAATACACAACAGCAAACGAAAAAGAAAGAAAAAAAAAAAAAAAAGAGAGAGAATGGGTGCCTCTCAGAGGAAAAAATTTGGGACACAAGCATATAAATAAAGAAATTCAACAGCGAACATACAGAACTCACCTAAATTTTTATACATGACTACACAGTTTTCATCATTATTTGCAAAGTTAGGTTCATGTGGTGCCCATGCCAAATAATTCACCGGTGTACCATCCATCCAGCTTAAGAAAAATAATCCAACAAATCACTTCTTTAATATTAGTAGGATTGATTTCATATTAAAAAAAAATGTCATTTTGCAGTATCTTTAGTACAGCCATTCACAGTCTAATGTGTACAAGATTTTTTGACTGGTTTGTCTCGCTGCCAACTGCATTAGAACTATTCTCCTTGCATAAACATAGTATGTGTGCTTACTTTTGATTTATACAAGCAGACATTTCTACAGCTGATAGGACAATACTCAAAATATCCATCCAGGCCAACGTGAAAGCTGGACATCATTTCAAAATGAGATAGTACATACACTCACCATTTTCCCTAAGTCGTGCATTCACTTTACCTGTTACACATAAGTGATTTTAGTAGTAACACAAGCAAAATGCTTGATTATTCTACTACGCAGATGAAAAATTGTAACAAATTTAGGACAGCATACACATTTGCAATTAAAAACATCAAGCATGAAATACTAATCCCTGGAAATACTGAGTGAAACTTAAAAACATTTTCATGCACTTTGACAGGATACAATTTCATTGTAGCACTTGAAGCACTTCACAATTTTTTCTCTGCTCAACAAATGCAACCATGATGGTTCACATTCACCTACCTTGTCCTTTGATCAACACTCAGTTGCAAACCAATGAAATATGCTTCCTCTTTGCCATTTTTCAAGATCTAGAATATAACAGTTAATATTGTATATGCTTACTCCTCTTATCACAAAATCATTAATAATGAGTAATACATTATTTATTCACAGGGAATACAAATTGCTATATTTTCTAGCTACAACAGCAAACTTAAAGCAGCCACTTCACCACTGACCAAAACATTTGCTTACTATATTATCACTTTTTACAGTCTTACTTGAAAGTCAGTGAAATTCTCAATTCTTGAACAGCCTCTATGGCAGACATCATCTACAAACACTGCAAGAAACAAACCCTCCTACAACTTGGTTGTCAATATAGGCTTGTGTCAACTCACTGACATCCTTCAGCAAGATCAGGGAAGGCTTCAAGTAGATCTAATCTGATTTCTAGATTACTGACTTAAAGAAGGTGGTCTGAAGACAGAAATCAGGCAACTAACTTTCAGTCACCAAGGAAACATCATCTAAAAGCTCTTTGCTCATAGTCTGCCAGTCAAGTGCTTCACCCCTAATTATGTTCCATAGGACAATTTTGTCCTTCTGCCTCCCTGACCAAAAAGAGGTTGCTAGATAGACTACATCTCACACACGCTGACAAATTCAAAAGCCAATGTTCAGGGAGTTGTGTGTAAACAAATACCTATTTTGATTCACTACTTCAAATGTTTCATCCATCATCTTTCAGCTAACTCACTTGCCCTAGCAAATTGTAGCTCAAGATTACAATGGTTCTTGCTAAAACAAAGCCAAAAATTAATTAAAACTAAGCATTAAGACATTAGCAGTTGCAGATAGATACAATGGAATCAATGATCTTTGTGGGCCCCTTCCATCTTGTGATATCCTATGATTCTATAATTCTATGATAATGTGTTCTAACTGCCACATGGTATAATTTAAAAGCAAATAAGAATTTATTTAATGCTTACTGTGCTTATTTCTATACACAAAAGGCCCTGTCTCTGGTAAGAAGCAATCTAAAAAAAAAACAAAAAAACAACTTGGACTTATCATACATTTTCATCTGGCTTAATGCTACTGCAGTTTCACTGACTCCACTGTTATAAAACTTGTAAGGAGAATAACAGATTGAACAGGACTTGTGAACACTCTCATTTCCTCTGGATGATTATTGCATAGTATTAATTAATTTTCCTTACATATCGCCAGAGGAACTTTCTTTCAGTTTCACTCTCAATGACTGCCAGATCTCCAAAGTTCTGTTTGCAAAACTCTCGACCTTTTTCCATTGGAACACTCTCTGTGCTGAAATAATAATGTCTGTCTTCATTTATAATCCATCCATCCTCAGTAGTCACATACTCTGCAAGATAAACAGTAAGCTAACTATACTGTTACTAAGGTACAAGATATTCTCATTAATATAATTTAAAAAACATGCTTAAACACACATACACTAATAGCAAAAGCAAGAACACTTACTGGGTACAGGAGATTCTGTTGGTTCAGGCTTTAAACTTGCACCTGTAAGAAAAAGGAATTTAATATAACAGTAAGAGAAAATGTTTACCATGAGCGATAGGCATGCCTCTTAACATTGAATTTCATGTTAGCCATGGATTTAATACCAAAAACTAGAAGGAACTAAATGGTCTAAACCTCTTATTTTTGGCCAATTTTAAATAAAAGCTCCTGTTCCCTGATGCTCTAAATATAAACTATTCCTAATGTGCAAGGCACTTTAGAATATGCTGATATTTGCCTAAATTAATTGATCGTATTTAATATTCCCTAAATGCTGAAAATCTTATGTCTCAGGGCATTCTTGCTATTAAGACAGTCCTGTTTCTCCCACCTTTTTTAGCAGGAATCATAGAATGGCTTAGGTTGGAAGAAACTTTAAAGATCATCTAGCTTCAACCCCGTTGTGGGTAGGGTTACCATGAATCAGATCAGGCTGCCCAGAGCCCCAGCCTTCAATGCCTCCATGGATGGAGCGCACACAGTTCCTCTGGGCAGCCTGTCGCAGTGCTTCATCACCTTCTGAGTAAAAAACTTCCTCCTAATAACTAATCTAAATATCCCCTCTTTCAGTTTAAAACCATTCATCCTTGTCCTATCACTATCAGACTGTAACAGGTCTGTCTCCCTCCTGTTTAAATACCGCTCCTTTTAAATACTGGAAGGCTGCAGTGAGATCTCTCTGGAGCTTTCTCTTTTCTAGGCTGAACAAGCTCAGTTCCCTCAACCTTTCTTCACAGGAGAGGTGCTCCAGAGCTCTGATCATTTTCTTGACTCTCCTCTATTCCTGCTCCAACAGTTCTGTCCTCCTTGCGCTGGGGACCCCAGGCCTGGATGCAGTACTCGAAATTGGGCCTCACAAGAGCAGAGCAAAGGAGGACAATCAATTCCCTCACTCTGCTGCTACCTCCCTTCTGAAGCAGCTCAGGATACAGTTGGCCTTCCAGACTGCAAAGCTGACTCATGTCCAGCTTTTCATCGACCAGGTTGTTCTCTCAGAACAGAAAGAGCTTACACTGAGATCTTAAAAATCTCCACAGAGAAAGTCAGACTGGAAAATATATACTTCCAAGAAATTAACTGGTCTGTCCTAAAAATAATATTTCAGGTTACAGTATATCCCTGTTTGATTTGGTTATGGCACAACAGAGATAGATTCATGACATCATTATTATCACAGAAAAACAATTTCTAAAACAGGACATCTCTCTACAGGTTTATCAATTTTGTTTGTACTATAAATAATCTCATTTATATTGACATTTAATAAAAAATTCAATGCCCAAGTAATCCTTTTACCAACACACAGTAGATTTGGTACTTACTGTCAATAATCTGATAATTACAAATAAGACATCCTTGTTTTGCTCCTTGCCCTCCCAACTTATGACTGTGGCAAAAAGCTTAACTAAGCACTTTACAGAATTCTCAAAGGTACTTACACGTGTTGTTTGTGGAGCAGATAATTTCCCAAAATAATTTTTTGTCTTGATGTTTTCAGATAATAAACTTAGAATTCAAGAGTACTTTGTGACAAACAACTAATGAATATAAATATATATATATATATATATATAAATATAAAACTTAGTCAATGCAAAACAAATTATCCCAAATCAGGCTACATCTTGCAATTATAGATTACATTCATTTATCAAATAGTACCTATGCCAAATAAAGGAGAGAGTTTTCACACACAAAACTTCAAGTACTGTAAACTATTTTCTTACAAGTTGAAGCTCAACTCAGAGAGAAAAAAAAAAAAAAAAAAAAAAAAGTAGCATTTACTGAAGAAAGCATGAAATAAGAAGCGAATGTGAATAGTCAAACATCTCCTAGTTTTGAGGAATCACATTTATCTTTCTGAAATCGTAGAGAAAGAACAGCAAGAAGCCCCAACAGGGCACCATTGTTTCTGTATCTTTGGATGCATCAAAGACACGTAAATCCTTATGCAACCTTCACATTTCAGCTTTCACAGAGAACTGTTATGGTAAAAGGTTTTTAATTTTTTTGTTTTTAAAGTTAAGGGAAAAAAAAACAACCAAACAGATTCTTTTCTTATTATCACAAAACAGAGAAGGATTCAACAGTACCTTTTCTTATCTGGCAGATCCATCCATATAGATAATCACAGTGCCTGTCATTCCAAAGCATGCTTGAATCACCACTGATCTCTGCACAGAGTTCAATTCCTTGGTAATTATTAGGTTCCCCAAAGCCCCAGTTCTCATACCTCACCTATGATAGAAAAGGTTTTGTGAGGATCTTGTAATACAGTACAGTAATAACGGAGAAAAGGAAGAGGCTGTATCAAAACACAGGCATAAGATCTGTTTACACTGCCAGTAGAAAAACTGAGGTAAGAGAAAAACAGCTTCCCCCTGCAAATACTGATATTCCAGATTTATTTTTGGACCACAATTTAAGTAACTGTTGTTACTTATCAAATTTGGAAGAATATTGATTTTTTTTAAGGGCATAAATTCTATTAAATTCATCTAATGACAATGATGGTGAATTCCATATGTTGCTAAATTAAGTAAATATCCTCTGAGTAAAATAATAGGACATTACAGAGAAACACAAAAGTGCTGCCATTTATCTAATAAAAACTTCTACTCTAATTTTCCTGTTTAAATTCTTATTTCAGTTTTCTGTATGTAGACTTTTACCTATATATATATATATTTACCTATATATACCTATATATATACACCTATATTTACCTATATATATATATATATATATATATTTACCAACTTCATATTAAATACACCCACATCTGCAGAACCAATTTTGCTTCCACAGTTTAACATCTTAGTCTAACGTACAGACAAGCCACAATTGCCTTCAGCTCCGTTGAATGTAGGCCACTTCAGATCAAGATGTAATTTGAAAAGAACAGAAATACTAACAATAGGTTATTTTTTTCAAAACAAACTTTGATTCATAAGAACATACTTTTTTTAATCTCCAGGAACTCAACTTTCTCATTGATTTAAATATACATTATTTTCTTCTAATAAAAAAAAATCAGTATGGTTTAGACATAAAATTCAGCCATGAAATTGCTAGTCGTAAGATTCCTAAAGTGAACATGACAGAGCAGAGTGTTATGGTTAAACATAAAACTGTACACAGACATTTACACCACGCACTTGAGAAACACAGGGAATGGAAAATAAGAGCTGTGAAGAGTTAAACCACTGACCGGAGATCCATCACTCCAGACAAAGCCATCATCAGGATTCAAGTAATACAAGCCCATCCAGAAATGCTGGTGGTAAAAACCATTGTTTCTAAACAAAACAAAAGAAGAAAAATAATAAATATTCAATTTATAAAGAGCTTAAACATAAAAACAAAACTAATAAGGGCATTACAATATTTTTATAACCTAGCATCCACAGCAGTTCATAAGCCTCTATACAAATAATTCTTAAACCTCTAAGAAATAAAAAGTGGAGAGGACAACTGGTAAAATTCAACATTTCTAGCTTTTAGCACTACACATTAATTCAAGTCAGTCTGAAACATTGTCTTATACAGAATGTGTCCAGATCCAATCCAACTCCTGAAAATCTAATAAAGAGTCTTACTACTTTTCTACAACAGTCCAGTACCTACTATTTCTCTGTTTTCTCTTTAAAGGCATGTAGTATTTCCAAAAACAAGATTACTTGCTGCAGCAGAATCACATTAAAAAATAGTACCTTAGCTATTTGTTGTCTTCAAGCAGGTACGCTTTACTGATTAATCAGAATTTATTGAACCAATACATAGTAATGCAGAGATTCCTTCCTTGAATGATCTGAGACCTCTTACTTGAAGGTCTGCTGCATTTTGCAAGTCTGCAAGGTTTCAGTCTTGCTTTCCAGTTAGATAGGTACATATATGTTCATTGAGCTCCCTCCATTCATGTCATATTACAAGTGTTATCTTTTTAATAGTATTTGATCACATTTCAGAGTATGATCAAATCTCTCACTTTCTTATTACAGTTCAAGGATCTACTAACTGTATTTACATACCCTATGTAGGGGAAAAAAAAGGAAGAATCTGAAGTTGGCTCTTTTCTGATTAGCTCTTAAAATGAACCAAAACACGGACTAGATTTATATCTTGACGGTTTTCCTATTTGTACATTTGCTTATGTTAAACAAATTGTCATGTGTAGTAATTTCAAAATGAAATATTTCAGAACGATCAAAAGGATAATTGCAGTGAACAGATGATGACATTACAGATACTTACGCAATAGAACGCCATATCACATACTGCTCTTCTTTACCATTAATGGAGGCAAGATCTCCTCCTATAGTTCGACAAAACTCTTGAGATTCAAGCCATGTTTTCTTTTGCTCTCCTTTTGAAAAAGGCTAAAGACAGCATATTTTACCGTCAGGTATAATAGACCATAAGTAGATTACATGATCAAGATATTCAAAACCAATTCACTTGAAATTAACTTACTCTATGGGGATTACAGAAAATTACAATTACAAATTATAATAAGGCCAGTTAGTGTTCATCTGTTTGAAAAACAAGTTTCAAACGAGCACCTTTGAGGCAAGCTGGCAGACTGCATTGCTGACAGCAATAACTGCTGCAAACTGACAGGAGAAAGACACTTTTAATAGAACAAGGATGGAAATTTAAGCTCAGAAAATCAGACCTCAAGATCAGACTTTAAAAAAGTAAAGAAAATGACAAATACCTCAATAAAAGGGGACAGGACCTAAACATATAATCTGTGAATAAGCTGATGAAACAGCAAGACTATTGTACACCAATTTTTATTGCATGCAGGTGCACCAAATAGAAACATCTTAATTGAGAATGAAGCAACAACTTACTTTGAAACAAAAGCTAATACGATTGTTTGAGTCCCAACCTTCTGGACAACTGGGAACAGGAGTTGTTGTAGGAACAGGTGGAGGTGTTACTCCCTCTGCCCACATTTTACATAGGAATTTTGCCTTTTCCTCACATTTTATTACATCCCATAATCCACCTGCAGTTCCAGTTCTCATAGCAACACAGCCTGGCTTTCTTCCTGGTTGAAAACAGGCACACATAAAGGCAACATTTCAGGGGGTCACTGAGAATTTTGGAAAACTTCATATTCTATCCTGTTAGAAACCAAAGTATTTGCTTGTACAGAGTGAAAAATTTTTCTAACTCATGGAGAAAAAGGCAAAAATGTGCTTCACCCATATCTGAGATACTGAGATACTTGATACATATCTGAGATACTTGATGTGCCTTACATCAAATCACATCAATTTCCAATGGCTGACTCTAGCACCATCATGCAATTCAACCAATTCTTCCCTAAAACAGAAGACATGATAAGAGCAGTTTTCCCAAATTTGCCTGATTTGACTATAATTTAATAAAATGAGCTCGCTAAATATAGGCTTGCTGCTGTCTTAGTCTACCCAGCCTTACCACTCCATGAGACACATTTAAATCAGAATTTAAGACAGTGCAATTGAAGAGGAAGGGATCAGACAACCTCCCAAAAGCCTGATATAATACATCAGAATCTTGAAGGCAGGAGATCATCTTCCTTCTGATGTGACCATGTCAGACATAAAAAGGTTTCCCATATATATACATACGTACAATTCATCAAGGAAAGATATTAAGTGAAAAAAAACTAAACACAAACCTTCCTCTTGTCCTTTCCTACAACCTTGTTTTCTCTAAGAGAGGCGTTTTACATGTGCTGTGATTTTCCACAACTCAAAACATGCACTTAGCAAACACACTATGAGATACAGCAGAACAGGCAGGATTTTTGAGCAAGGCACAATATGTCTGAAGAGAATGATCTTCTGGAGTAGAACATGCAGAATGACAGGAAATCAGAAACTTGACAGAGCTTTGAAGTTTCTTTCACACTCAGATTAAAAGCCTGAGTGCATGCAGCAAGTTAGCACCAGCACAGCATGCTTGAGAGAGCAGACAGATATCTGAGAGCAATTGGTCATTGTGCCATTAGACAGGGACTAAGGACTGAAATAAAAAATGCAATTGGTGAGCGATATATTCTGGCCACTGCATTCATTAGAAAGCATAGAGTCATAGCTACCAGGCATTTCAGAATTCCAGTGTGTAAATAAGACATATTCGCCATTAGCCCACTTGAAAGTTCCCTTTTCTTCTACATCTGAAAGTCCAATCCAAAAGTATCTTTCTGTTTTCAGCCCAACCAGGCTAGTCAGATAGGCTTGTTCATATCTGTTCAAAAGAATACAACTGTTAAATTAATACCACTGGATTCATTTTTTAAAACTGTAAATAGTTTATTTTCTCAGAACTACCTTTGTACTTTCTTAAAAGAATGACATGGAGGGATTTACATGAACAAACCAAAACATAATGTTTAGTTTGTAAGCTTGAATACCAAAGTATTCTGTCTTCTCTTCCAGTCCAGTATAGAAAGTGGTATAATGGTGAATTGATATGAAATTGGAGAGGATATGGAAATGAAGGATCAAGACAGGACTTAATTGTAATACCACTGTATTTCAAAGATACCCTTCTATTTCAAAGGTACCCTTCTATTTTAATAACTTCTTGTTACAGGCAAACCCAAAAACCACAAAAGGCCTCAGCACTATTACAGAAATACACTGAAGTCAAGGCTGAAGTATGACGATAACAAACTGTTAAACTAAGGAAAACTGCAAATCAGATCCAGTGATCATTGATCATTCCCAAACATGAACTTTTATGTTTGGGAAACAAATCTACTCAGAGGTAAAGCTGTCATAGTTCATTACTGTGTTTAAATAAAAAGCCTTTGGAAAATCAGAGCTAATGTAAAAAAAAAAAGTCTCTCTTGTAACAAGATATAGTCCAAAGACCACATTACTTCACTATTTTTTATCACAGCTGCAGTTCAACCTGCATTTTCAGGGTTACTATCCATGAAACAGTTTTCATGCTGAAACATACCTATTCAAATTATAATGAAAGAAATCAGAGAATGTGTAAGACGTGGAGTCAACCGCAGGCACACCAGCCTTTATTTCTTAACTCTTCCATTTTTGAAATATGCTGTATTCAATAATGTCTATCAGCTGCTCAGAAACTTAGCACACATCGAACCCTCATGGAACTGTGATGTTTTAAAGTACCAAGCACTTCTATCCTCATTTGGATTCTTATTTAAACTTTGAATAAGTAGTTCAATTCTGAAAAGAACTGATATTTGACATCGAGCTCCTCTTCCTCATTTCAGTTACCTTTCAAGAGGAATTCACTTAAATCTCTTCACTTGATTATTTAAAATTGAATTCTGTGCTCTTACTCCCACACTCAAGTAAACTTATCCTCAAACCACTACAATTAAAAAAAAACAAAACTCTATGTTTTCCTTGGCTTTCAGTGGCAAAAAATTATTTCATATCCATTGACTATTTTTACTATGAACTGAATTCATAGATTTGAATATGTATGCAAAATCTTTTACAAGTTTTGTATGTTTATATAGCTGTCCTCTCAAGCAAGATTTTCATCCATATCAAAATCTTTATTTTGACATTCAGATGATATTAGATGCTAAATTCTCATGCGGCCCTTAATGCAAGCAGTTTTCACTTACCTGTCTTGAACAGTTGCTAAATACGCTTTATGCCTTTCACAAGTTTGATTTGCTTGGGAAAATGTTACAAATGTATTCCCAATGAAGTAACAATAAAAACCATGCCTTTTCCAGCCCTGTCAAAATAAGCATTAAGTGATCAAATGCGCTACAGTGTTCATAAAGTTCCTATAAAAATATATAAAAACATAAATGTAAAAGACAAAGAAAGAAAAAAAAAAATCTCATGACACTGTCAGCTAACCATTAGCCAAAGGAACAATTGAACTGCAAAAGGCAGAGTGGAAACAGGCAAGAAGAAAGATTTTATAAAGTACTAACTTATAATGATTTTTGATTTCCACTTATAAAAAGAGATGATAGGTTTTTCTTGTGCGTTTTCAGTACTCTGCCTAGCACATAGGTGTGCAAGCATGAGAACTGCCATGGAAAGCAAATTTAAGCTTGTCCTTTTAGATTGCTAGTGACACATTAGAAAAGTTTATAGATTATTAAATAACATTAACACTCTTCTAATGCTTTGTCATCCAAATATCATTATCTCAGGAATATGCTTGCAGAGGAGTAGTGGCTGAGTTACAGCAAACAATTTATACAAATTTTCTCCTGGTATTCTTCAGTTTCTCACCAAGAAGGCTATCCAACATGGAATAAATTCAGTGGCAGTTCAGAGGGAGCACAGTGGATACATTTTGTTTAGGAACTTGTAACAAATTCTTCAAAGTAGGGAGCATGGCCAAACACCTAAAACCTACACAAAACCTTGAGAATATCATGAAGACAAACACATTCTTATTGCCAACAGTAACAAAGAAAATTGCAGACAGAGCTGAAGAGCAACTGCTCTTCAGCTACATAAGAAAAATTTCTTATGAAGGCCTAAACTCCAATCAAGGAACAATAGCCTACTCAAGAGATGCACATTTGAGTTTTGTACACTTTCAAGTTCTAGAAAAACAAAGGGAACATCAACAGTCAAAGAGTCAGGGTCTGGATTTATTCATCTGTACCACCTGTCCCATCTGCCATAAAAACGAGGCCAGCTGTTCTAATCATGACAATGCAGAAACCATTTCTCCTTTTTTTCCTCCCTCTCCTTCCAGATCCAGTCAGGAGCCATTTTCTCTTCTTAACCCTACCTAGCAGCCAATTCAGCTTCAACAACTTTTTCTTCACTTACTCTCTGGCAGCCCATGTCAATAGTTTCCTCTCCTGTAGGTGCTTCTGACAGGGGCTTCCTTTTACAGATGTAGCCAATTTTCTTTTCGCAAGAATGGTCTGCCCAAAATCCATCCTGAACATGAGAACAGAATATCATAGTCAAGTGGGATTTAGGTTTCAAAGACGTACTCTATGTTTAAGTATTTAAGGATACTTTTTCCTAGCTTTTAAGGAAAGAAAACCTACACTAACTTCAGTACAGAATTTCAACCTCAGTCTGACTTCTCCTGCTGAGAATGATTCAACATTGATGTACACCTTTTCTGATTACTAACCTTGCTGGAAACTGGACCCTTTGAGGTGACAGCAATGCAACATCTTTACAAAAACTACTAATTCAATAATCATGCAGGAGGAAAGGGGATCATAGAATGGTTCGGGTTGGAAAGGACCTTCAAGACTATTTTCTTCTGATTCCCCTGCTCAGGGCTACATCCAACCAAGCCTTGTACACTTCCACAGATGGGGCATCCACAGCTTCTCTGGGCAGCCTGTTCCACTGCCTCACCACCCATGCTATAAAGATTTTCCTAAGAAATCTAATTTAAATCTAGTTCTCTTAGTTTAAAACCATTATACTTTGTCCTGTCACTACAATGCCAAGCTTCTGCAGCCTTGAACTGGTATTTTTGGTTCTTATAATATTATGCATGCCAGCTTTCCATAAGAAACTTCTGAGCAATGATCAAGGGTTCTCTGGCTGCACTGAATGTTACCACTTTTAGCATGTCATTTTAGCATACATCATCATCATCATAACCAGTGAAGTCAAATATTAATGCTTTGTGATCCTAGCCATTGAATTTTATTTTAAGACCCATCCAGATGTTAGATCTCATTTGTAAGCTTACTCATTTTCTACCAACGTATCTGCATATAAAAATAAAAAAAAAAAAAAAAAAAAAAAGAAGAAAAATCACATTCCACAGTACTTATCTGTAACTATATATGTAACTATTCTTGCCAACTCACAACTGAACTCTTTGTAGGTTCCAGTGCTGCACTCTGGCACCCTAATGTTTAAGCATTCAGCTACCTTCCCATGCCTGACCTTCTAAGTCCATAATACAGACAAAGCATCTACTGCATCCTCATCTAACACTGTCATAGGAGCTGCCCAAGAAGGACATTAATACACAAAAACTTTTTGCTTTTAAAAATCTGCTTGCTCATTGATTATGTGCACTATAGCCTGGTTGCCATGGAAAAAAATATGTATTTACACACTTCTCACCAGAACTTGACCAAAGAAAAGATTTAGATGTTCATGTGCTTTGCAGTGTAATTAAAAGTTTCTTCCAAAGTCCACATGTGCATACAGAAATCTCTGGACCTTGGGGGAGGATTTACCTAAAAGGAAAGCCACCACTTGCTTGTTTCTCAAGGAAGCAGCAAAATAAATAAATAAAATATAATTAAGTCAATAGTTAAACATGACTTTACCTTTCCCTTCATAACAACGCAGTCCTCCTGCCTATTGTTTGCATGAGTGGGTTCTCCACGAAGCCACTTGGCATAGGTGACAGGTGTCCCATCACTCCATTCAAAATACATCTGAATCTTGAGGTCATTCAACCCAATCCAAAGTTCATCATCTGGCTCTAAAACATGATTGACAACAGTCCTTATATGTTATGTTATTTATAGGATCTTACTCTCAGGAAGGCTAAAAGGAAGTCACAGAAAATTAAGGCTCCCTGTTTCATGTAGAAGGCACAGCATTCTCTACATACCCTCTCCAGTCTTCAGGAAAAGCCACTCACTCTAGTGGCATTACATTAGCAGTGTTTAGCTTCATACAAAAGCACAAACCTGCTCTCTGTATTGAATTATGTTGTAGCATAGTCTGCCTTGTTCTGCTTTTCCAGCTTAAAACATTCAGATAAAATATATAACAAGATACAACTAACCACCTAAATAAAATCCTAACTCCTCTTTCACTTCTTGCACAGGAAAGAAAGTACAAGTGCCATCTCTTCTAATGCTCAGACACCCGGCATGTCTCTTAGAAATGACCGTCAGCAAGCACACTTGCAAGTTGTCCCATCATCTGTTCCTACACTTTGTTTCATTTTAGAGCAATATGCAATTCCTGTTGCTGTTCACTTTTTGTCAGTCCGCTGTAGAGTAAATCTTCATTTGGAAGGAAAGTGCAGGAATTAAGCAAGCATCTTACTTCACAGCTGCTGTTTCTTAGAGGTCTGTTCGCCTGCGCTTAAAAGTCTCCACCATATTGCTACTATAACGTTCACTATCCGGTTTTCTTCTGCAAAAAAACTTCTGAATAAAATCCTATGGAAGATTAAAAATCGGGCATTGATAATGATTGAACTTTATCATCATCAAAGGACGTTCCTTTATAGTACTGGCTTTGTAGCTTTTAACTGCAATTGGGAATTTGTTATGAGAGTAATAAAATGTATTTAATTCCATCAGTAATGGTGGCATGATAGAACTGTATTTTGAATTAACAATACTCAGACATCTTTCATGCTCATAGTTTGTTCTCACAGTTTTCCCTTCTTGAACAATTTTCCTCTTAACATTCTCTAGCCATACTGATCACGGTCAACTTGACAACAAAATTGCTCATGAAATGTAAAAATGGGATCTTGTGTCCACTTTATCAACTAGCTATTTCCCCCTCTCTCAGACATGCTCTGAGCCATGTTTGTTCAAGATCAGATTCTGCATTTCCATGTAAATATGCACAATACATTCCTTTTTAATTCTTCATGTTCTTCTCTAAAGTTCTCCTTTGTCAATTATGCCAAAACTGAAGTTTTGCTACTGTGACCATACTTATCTCATACTTACCCCATATTGCTCAGTCTTATCACTAGACTGAATTATCTGGTGCAAAGATGGGCTTTTACTCTGTTTGCACAGCACTTATTGCAGAAGAGTTCTGATCCAAGCAAGATTATTGAGGCATTGCAGTACACAGTGCTCTCATCACAGGCAGGGGTGAGAAATGACAATCTGATACTGAGAGACAAATGCCTTAAAAGGCATTTTCAGCAGTTTCAATTTTCCTCCTCTGAAAAGATTACTTTCTAAATAGTCTGTTGCAGTATTTGTGCCATCTATGAGAAGTCTGGTTTCCTTCAGAACTATATGCCTTTCAGAAATATTCACTTTAAAAAAAAACAGTGCAATGCAATCGGTCCAGAAAAGGCCTTTGGAAAAGGTATTTAACCTCTGAAACAACTTACTTCCAAGGAATGAGTCAAAAATGCATCTAATCTCCTTCAAATTCTTTCAAATGTCCTAATGCCTCATCAAGAGGTCTCACCTTTCCTAATCATCCCTTTTCAAAGAAAAAACGTTTGCATAGTTCACAAGACAACACACCACTCTTACTGCACCCTATGCCATGCTCTACTCTGGTTCCTACTGCCTCACCTTGAGGGCTGTGAGCAGATTGGGTGCCAAAATATAAGAAGGTCATAAAACCATCGGAGACCACCTGAAGGATTGGGAATACAGGGAAGGGACTATCACATAAGGCATTAAAGGAGCAGCTGGGGTCCCTGGGTTTGGTCAGCCCAGAGCAGAGGAGGCTCAAGGAAGGTCCCAGGCAGCTGCAGCTCCTCACAGGGGAGCACAGGGGCAGCGCTGAGCTCTGCTCTCTGGTAGAAGCTCCAGAACTACGGCACAGAGCTGCATCAGGGGACGGTCAAGATGGAAATGAGGAAAAGCATTTTCACCAGAGGCTGGTCAGGCCCTGGAACGGGATCCAGAGTTCAAGAACAATTTGTTCAACAACACTCTCAGATATATGTCTTAATTTTTAGGTATTTCTATGTGGAGTTGGACTCGATAACACTTGTGGGTTCCTTCCAACCTGGGATATCCTATGATTTTATGATTGTAAGAACAAACACAAGTTGCAGTGGAGTTGGACAGGATACAAAACTAAAGCAGATCAGCTATTTTCAGATTGCTATTCCTGCTGTTACGCAGCAGCTCAAGAGAGCTTGCTGCCCTTTCAGGGAGAATAAGCTACCTGACAGGGTACTAAAAACACATAGAGGATTAGTTACTGCAATGCAGCAAACATGGGTGTAAAGATGTCTCACCCATCAAATAGTAGTATCTGACACTAAATGTGAAATAATTTACATGGAAAGCAACAGCAACTACAAAATGGCCTCAGCATCAGCATGGTTGCATCTCACAAAAGGAGCATCTCACCTAAGGTTATCTGTAGCCATATTTGACTTGCAAGAACTTGAGTATGTGAACACTGAAGTACCCCATTTCAGATGGGGTGCCTCTTAATACACATACTGAGACAGACAGCTTCTTATTTCACGACTTGAAAAACATGGACATGGCAGTAACAGGATCCATAATTTCCCCAAGTTTTCTGACCAACAAATATTGTTTTCTCTCAGCTATCTTTGCAGAAAGAAAGTAAAAAAATCTTCCAGCTTCTGAAAACATTACAAATGGCCTTAACCTGTACATGAAGAGGTAGAAGCAGACCCTGAGAAGGGAGGTTGATGCAATTCACAACATTGATCACAGCTTTATCATGACAGCATAGTCTCTCTAGTTTTAATTCTCCTATTTTTTTTTCCAACTTTTGAAGTTTAGAATTTAAATCCTTCTGCACCTTGTGATGAGGATATTGCTCATTTTTTTATTTGTATTTTTTAAACAGCCTCCTCTTTTTCTCTTAAACTTCTTATTTTCTTAGTATAAATGATATAGTACTGAAAAAGAAAAAAAAAATAATCAAATACTCACGGTACCCAAGCTGAGAAATAACAAAGCTGTACTCTTCAACGTTATGGATGCTAGCCAGATCCCCATCCTGCTTTCTGCAAGATGTTAAAGCATCTTTCCATATTTTGGGGTCCCTGCGAATTATGTAACAGTGACCAGCATATGATATCCATTGGTCAGGACATACAATAGGCACATCAGTCTCTGAAAAGAAAAACAAAGAACTTCAGAATTCTATTCTTAACAAAAGATTTAAAATTACATAAGCAAGGACTTAAACAAATTAATTGCGTTTTTTTCACCCTGAAGAACAGCAGGGTTGAAAAATATCTAAAAAGCTCATCATGGGCAAGTATGACTAAAAGTTAAAATCCCCAAATATATTTAAGTTGCACTTAGTTGCAAACAAGTGCTTGCAACTTGTGAAAAGATGGAAAGAATTTAACTGCAAAAACACACTTTTGTCCCTCATAGACACACATGCGTATTCAATTTTGAAATCTAAGAAGTTGTGCTCTGTTATTTTTCTGCATTTCATGCCAGCATTCCTTATCACTCTCTTTTCACTTCATCAGTGATGCTTAGGTACAGGATAAGAAACTGGGCTTACAGAACTTATATACGAAGGTAACATTTTTCCACTAGACTTTAAGCACTTTATGGACAAGCTGCATTTTCTAGATTAAAAATAAATTAATTAATTAAATAAAATCAAGTGGTTCTACAGGATTATGCAAGAACCCAAAATGCAAATACTGCTTTTAGGAATACTTTTTAAAAGCACAATTGAGAAAATTATTCTGTAAATTATTGCATTTAAGGATTGCTTTTAGGAATTCATTAGAACAGTAATAAAGTACTGCCAACAATCACATTGCTGATCAGCAAACAATTCAGCTTTGGAAGAAGTGCCATCCAACTGTATAACAAAGAGAATTTATAATCATTGGACAGTTTTGCAAACACCAATATAGAGAGCGGAACAAGGACAGCAAGCTTGCAGAAATTCTGTTGGGAAAATAAACTTATGCATGTCAGAGAACAAGAAGCAATGTGTTTCTGTATGGCAGTGGTTTATATTTCATGAAAACATTTAACTAGGCATCCAAAGCCATGATTAGTCAAGGGCAAGTTTGTGAATACGCATCCTGTTTCAGCTAAAAGATGCTGACAATTAGTAGTTATTTAGTATCAGAGCGCCAGTGTCAAAGCACAGCTATAAACATACTTTTTTGTCTGCAGACCCACCTCAAAAAAGTGCCAGGATGTTATCAGAAAGTAAAACAGAACTCCGCCATCCCAGGGATGAGGAGCCCTGTGTATGGTCAGAGTCCTGTCAATCCAGCCACAGAAGGAAAGAATAGGGATAGATAGTTGGAAAGACAGACTGATGGTATGTGGAGTTGTCCAGAGAAATGAAACAGAGATGTCAAATACTGTTGTAGAAGTATCATGCTTTAGGCAGCTACCTGATTCCTACTGAGCCTGGGGTTAGCTCTGAGCATGTGTATCTTACAGTGTTTTGCTACAGCAAGAAGATAGAGAGCAGCTCTGAGGGAAAAAAAAACCTAGACTTACATGCATCTTTAACAAATTCATGCACCCTTTTGCAAACAGTAAACGGAACAGACACTATCAGTTCAGACTTCACTACAAAGACAATCCCACAGGTCTTTATTCCCCTGTGGCTTTGTAAGAATCTCTCTTTCAGACCGAAGGAGGCTGTATGAACATGACTGTCAACGCTAAATCAGCTACGGCAGGCAGGGAGACTCTTTTGGTTGTAAATTCAGTAACGTTAGGGAATTTGTTGCAGGCAGAAAAACTGGAGAAGAAGTTGACAGTCTAATTTCTTCTGTGCAAATTGTATTGAATGACATAGCTGGTGATTTCTCAGTAGGACAAAGCCTCAAATTGTTCATTTCTAGCTGTCAGCAAAAGTTAACTCTGTGCTTCCCTCTTCTTCTAAAGAAAACACACAATACAGAGCCCTGTAATCTACTTTTCATCCTTAAGAAAACAAGTACTAAATCCTGAGCTTCATCTAACTTAAATAAAATGAAGCAAGTAATATCTAACAGTGGGAATCACATTAACATATAAAAAACATTATCTCAAAAAGCCAAGTTGATGAATACTGTGGAATAGTTCAACATACAAAAATGAAGCAGACTTAGAAAGACCAAATAGTTCTGCAAACTATAAGCTTGGCTTCCTGAAGTCTGAAGGTCTCCCAGTTATTGACTTGGGTGTCTACAAAGGTAAAAATACTAGCTGAATGATTCTCATGATTGGGGAATTAACATTTCTGTCTCACACATTCATTCTTCGCTGTTGATAAGAGAGACCTTGCACAGCCTTCATAAGAGTTAAATTAAGTGTATTTGATTCTCCAATCAGATCTGGGGGTTTATGAAATACTCAGAAACTCAATACTTTATGTTGTCGAATTGGGATGAAAACTATTTTGGCAGTTACCTGGTGGAGGCAAGCAGCCAGCCAGCTTTTCCTTAGAAAATGAAGTTTAAGAATAAGCATATTTTGCAAGTTAAATTAATGGATTCTTATCGATTCATTTTGCTGTGTTGCAGATCAACTGCTTCAATGCCCTAAAATCTAAACGACTTAAAGATACATAATAATGTGGCCCCCTGCTGGAAAAAAAAAAAAAAAAAATCCCGTGAAGGAAGTCCACACAGCTGCTGAGTTCCTGAAAATCTTCAAATGCTACAAAAATAAAACACCTGTAAAGATTTTTCTCTATTTTGTTATAGGTACATGATTACATTCTGTTATAAAGTGTTCTCTCTCACAGTCCTATAGTGCTCTTCTGAACTTAAATGTAACTTCTAGAGTTAAAATATTGCCGCTGCATTTAGTAGCCAGTGCACAACTTAATTGCATGCATGAACTTGCAATTAATTTGTATTTTGACACTGAAGCCCTGGTCAGGAAAACATCATCTGCCATGAGTTTTCCTTTACATCATTAGAAATTGAGGGCACTTAACACCTTGCACGACTGCATGCTTATTCCTTTTATGACTTCCTCCCTTAGGACGCTTTGGAAAATATTTTATGATGTGAATCACTGCCAATCTCTGTTTAATCTGTCATCACGTTTACTCAGCAATTTCTGTACAATTGAAAACTTGCATCTCATTTCTGTTCTTCCTGCAAATTATTCACTTAAAATATAGGAGGGGTGAGGCAGGAAATCAAAACCCTGATGTATAAGAAAGAAATAGCCATTGGCTCCAAATTAAGATTGAATGTAAAACTAAATAAGATAATAGGCAGCACTGAATCAGTGGTTCATTTACAAGCATCAGTGTTTAAAGACATGTTTATGAAATTCTGAGTAACAGCCCATGAACAATCTACTTCAACCTAAATAAAGATAGATTTTGGCTGTCAGAAGTATAGAAATATTAACAGTTATTTGCATTTTAATTCAGAAAATAAATAAAAATAAAATAAGCACTATTGGCATTTCCAACTCGAACAATAAATACACTTAATTTCAAAACTGAAGTATATTTAATTAACATTGATTTCAATATTTGGTTAATAATACACTTGCTCATTTGTTTTTCTTAAAGAGAAACAAGTTAGACAGAAGACACTGTTTCATGTTTTTTGATATTACTGAGCTGGCTATATGTTGGCAGAACAGCAGAAATAACATTAAAAAAAATATTTTTCAAGTCAAACTTTTTGGAAACTCATCATTTGACATCTGATCTTCCAATAATGTATATTAAAAAATGGACTGGAAATATGGCAGTGGTTTGGATTTCTGCTTCTAAACCCTGTGCAAAATAATGTCAGTGAATTTGGGAGATACCTGTATAAGCTAGAAAGAGGAATAAACTTGGATACAAGGTATAACAGAAGGAAAGTGTTGAAATAAAGGAAAGGAGTCACAGTGTAAATTATAGCACAAAGAGATAAAATAAGGAAATAAGTATAAATAAAGGTATGAAAACTTATCCCTGATGTGCCTTTCCTGTGTACCTTAAGTGCCCAAATTATATTTCTTCTAAAAAAGTGTCTCTGTGTATTTAATCTAAAGAATTTTGCAATTGAACTAAATAGTTTAGATATATAGAAAATATAAATCCATACTTAACTACATGCACACATAGTTTTTAAACAAATCTTTAAATCTATAATAATTTTTAAAAATCTTTAAGTTTACTATTAATTTGCACTCTTAAACTTACTCCACTTCATAAGTAACAAAAAATGACAGCAAGAGAGATAGATTAGTTTCAATGAGAACATGGGTTTTTAGATAACTACACAATATTTTAAGCATTAAATTATTTAGCTTTTTATTCTACATACAAAACGTGAAAGTTTGTTTGCTTACAGAAAGAGAACTCAGCTATACTACGCAGGAAGTAAGGAGACCAGAACAAAGAGGAAGTACACAATGTTCACTTTTACAAGGAATCTTGGTCAAGTCACATTTTGCACAGACATCATCTTTTCTCAATTTTAGGCCATTAATAATTCATTAGGAGATTATTGCCAAGCCTACCTGTAGGAACAATGAAAGATGCTAAAGTAGCATTTCCTCGCTTACAAATATAGCCGAGCTTCTGGTTACATTCCCAATTCTCCCACTTGGCAACTTTGGCAGGATTTAATGCTGCACAGATTTTTCCAGGTTCTGGAGAAGGATGGCCTTTGATAAATAACAGAGAACAAAAGTTAAAATGATTTTAATGGACAAAAAAAGTTCCACAGTAGGCAGCTAGCTCTCTCAAATGCCCAACCCCCATATTTTAGCAACAGATAACTTAACTCCCTTATGGAACACAAAACATTCAAATGTTCCTGTTATTTGTTTAGAACTAGTGAGATGGAAGTATGTAAAGCTTCCACAAATTCTTTTAAAATTTACTGGTGGAAAGAACAGTTAAGTCTTCAACACCCATGGAAATGGGTATGAGATAGAGACACGCTGACAAAAATGTAACTGTGAAGTATAAAGCACACATGTAAAATTGGTTATATAGATACCAGCAGAGTGAAAAACAAATGGAGTCCCATTTTGATTACTCCAAAACTCAGATAATTCTTTACAAGATAAATGAGAGCTGCCTGCAGTTTTAGCAGTCATGAACAGCTTCCCTTGCTGCTTTGGCTCTAACTCAGCCAGGCTTTCTCCACCCTTTGCTACATGCAGCTCCTCACCTGTGCTTTTGGCAGACAGACTTGTAAACATCCTCTCAGGAACTTGTATTTCAGCCCATCTGTTTGCCTTTTGTGCTCTCACCATTGGAGAGCAAGTTAGACAGTGGTTCAACTCATTCTTCAAAGCTTACAAAGAAGTTTTGTCCACCTAAAATTTGGTTTGGGGCTTACCTCCAAAGAGGAACTACAGAGCGACATGATGGAGTAACTTACAGAGTTACTGCAAATTAAATACATGGGACATGCTCAATGAAAATGAAGAGTATTCAAACTGTATAACTTCAGACATCCACTTAAATCAGTCTCCAAAGACTTCCTGAATAGTTAGTGCAAGGAAACAAGGATCCTGATAAAAGTCACCTTAACACAGACACTGAATAATAAAAGCACCTCTTCAGTGCTGTCTACAGATGTCATGGAGAATATGTTTTTAATACTGGCACTGGAGTCCAGCATTGCAGCCACAGGTGTGAAACATCTGGTTTTGCTTCAGGGTAGACTAGTCTAATATATTTAGTTCTGTATGTATTACCACCAGGGTTGGTTAATCCAAAATAAAAATAAAAATCCAATCATTAAGCAAATAACCAAAACAAACTGGAAAAGAAAGGAATTTAACCCCTTGTAAAAAACATAATCTTACCTGGAACCCAATTTAAGTATCTAAACGGAGCACCACCAACCCATTGCCATCCGCTGTCAAAATTCAGGCTGTTAAGGCCAAACCAGAGAGCAGAACTCAGCTTGCCAGTCAAACCTAGGTAACAGAGACAAAGAAAGATACTGGCAGTGCACAGCAAGAGCAAACATTCTCTTGAAACTTGAAAGTTTAATTTCTTTTGGTTCTCTTTTTTCCCAGTACAAGATTTAAAAATTTTAAATTGAGGTGACTGCGCTAAACTGCTCATATGGTTTCACATCGCTCACATTACTTTTACTGTCAGAGTTCTCACAAATTTAGGTGTGAGGAATTGTGTTAGAATGGAGAAACAACAATACGTATACATTCTTTGTAAGGAGATTATCATAAATACGAAGCAAATCATTTTTTTTCCCCAGAATTACAAAACATAAAACTGATAGCTGACAGAAGGGAAGTAAATAAACAATCAATTTTCTAAAACCAAATATGAATCCTTTCCTGTCATGTAAATATTTTCTTTTCCAAGAAAATTAACAAATGTGAGCTTCAAATTTACTAAATATTTTAAAGTAGTATTGTAAGCTGTTTATATTTTATCATGTCACATTTAAATATGATCATTCCAAAAGTCATCTTTTTAACAGCACATCTGGTACATTTTGAAACTCATCTGAATTCACTTCTTCAGCCGAAGTAAGTCGGGATTCCAAAACGTGTTCCAACTTACTGTTCCAAGTCTGAAAAGCACTGAGAAATAATATCATGCCCATGCATGGTCCTATCAAATTCTGTGGGCTTTTTTATAGTAATTATGACTCAATCGCTTCTCTCTGCTTTATGTCTAAGAATTGTAAGCTTAGCTGGATGAGTGCTGATTACTTTTGAATTGATGTATTTCTGCATAGCTTACAGGAAATCATCACACAACTTACATTAAGCACTTCTGCTTTGACTGATAGCATCATACCAGCATTCAAATTTACTCCATGTATTTAGTTGTTTTTGACACTACGGTTATGGGTAACACTTAAAGTACAGCCAAGTTAGAGGCAGGGGTTGTTAAGTACTGAAAAGGATTGGGATGTAATGCAAGAGTCTGATTTGGCATCAACAGGTTAATGTGTTCCAGTACTGCTTCACAAACAAGTGATGGTTTATGAGAATCAAGATCTGAGCATGACAGGAAAACCTAATTCTGCAAGAATAGCTGTAGAATGAAAAACTGACTTTGGCAACAATATATTATAGTTGGTAATTAAAACATGTCTACTAACAACTTGCTCCTAAATGTCAATGCTCTCTTGAGCATTAATTTGAAGATTAATTTAATCACACTCAGTAAAGAAGACTTATGTTTTGGCCATTAACATTTGGAAACAAATGTTTTCACAGAACAGATTACATACAATATCAAAAATAGATTTATCAACTAATCAATCATCCTCTGAATTTACGAAATAAAAAAATTCAGCTTACAGCATAGAAAAAAAATATCAAAATGTTTTCTAATCTATCTAGTAGCTGTAACATTGGACTACCTCACATGTGTACACAGGCTCAGAAGACAGTGAAAACAAGACTGCCTGCCTCTGTAGAACATGAATGTCTTCAAGCATGAATTCAGGATTGAATTTTCACAGAAAGGAAGTTTGGAAATGATTCTAGGGGAAAAATAGAGTCTGAATTTAAGCTATTTGTAAGTCCTCCAGTTCTCCAGTTCATTAATTCCTTTTTTTTTTTTTTTTTTTTTTTTTTTTTTTTTTTTTTTTTTTTCCCTTTTCATATTTTAGCATATAAAGATGATATAGCAGCTTTAAAAATATTTGGCAAAAATGCTGATTGGTACACACAGCAAATGCAGCATAAAAAGAATGCAATCTTTGCATTTGCATTTTTTCTTTGAGCACTACTTTGGATTTGCATACATTCCAAAATTCTTTCTTTATTGCTTGAATTACTTAATTGCTGTGGTTTTTTTGTCACTGTAATTTTCCAGCAATATTAATTCATGAGAAAAATCATCATTATCTTTTCAAGTTTCCATCTGAATTATTCAAGATAACAATCTAAATCCAGAATTAAAAGATCTGAAGAAGATACCAGCTGTCAAGACAGAACATGCTATGTAAGTGTCACAGTTAAAACAATTCACTTTAAAAAAAAAAACAAAAAAACCCTGATGGATGATATTACTCTACCTGCTAGGTATGTTTGTTCATGCAACTCTGTGATACTTAATAACTCAGCCTTCTGTTGTTGACAGCTTTTCCTTGCCTGATGCCACGTCAGTGCTGACTCAGAGTTTATCTGATATTGGACATTTGTTAGAGGATCGGTATTCCACAATGAATCAATACTATTAACTGCCAAGAGAAAAAGAAATGTTGCAACTGATCACAAAGACTGAGACAGATACAACATAGAATAAATCACTGAGCAAAAATACACAAAGCTACGCACTGCAAAAAAGAACAGGTATAAAAGGAGTCCTTTAATGCATTAGTAAATCCAGGCCTAGGCCAAACCATGACAGCCATGTTGGACAACACACACATCACAAAACAATATCACATTTTCTCCAAGACAATAAAGCTGCTGTTTTAGATTGAAGATGAACAGCTATGGTTGCTCTAAAGTAACTGATTTGTCACCATGGAAAAAAACACTAAGGTCTTACTGTCTCACGCTAACTGAAGCCCATAAAACAGATGGTTTCTCTGAGCTAAGAAATCCTCATTTATTTTACAATTTTGGGTATTATGTAAAGCAGCTTTAGATCATCTTACTAAAATAAAGATAAACAGACCCAAGCGTTGGACTGAAAAATGGAAGCCCCAAACAGTGAGCCAAATATCACTCCATACAGAGAGTATAACTGCATGACAAAAGCAAAATAAAGAAGAGGTCACTATATGTCGGCTGACAAGGGGAAATGTCCTGAAATTCCTGAAATCAGTCTGTACCAGTTCTTTAAGTTGCAAGCTGCAAAAAATTGGAAAGAAAGAGGTCTTTTCTGAATTCAGAGAGCTCAGAAAATCTGTGCGTGTAAATAAGAGGAAAACAGTACAATAAACAAAACTCAAGACAAAGAGTGGTACATATTAGATGTCAGCAGGTCAGTAACCAGTTCCACTTTTTCCTGTATTAAATCTGATAGCTTATGGACAATATGAAGTGCTTCTTTTCAAATTAGCCTTAGACAACAAAATAAATTCATAGTATACTCTAATATGGACCTTTGAATAAATACGGAAACTTCAATTCCATTATCATTATTCAGAAAGTAACTTCTACCCAAAGCATTTTATGAACATCAGAAGCCAAAATTTCTTCACTATGCTATGTTCTACAATACCATGTGCACAAGCACACGTCTGGGATAAAAGAGAGACTGCAATATTAAAATCTATAATTCAGTAAAGATTGTCTCTGCCCTTGTAGAAAGGATTTTGCAGATACTGTGCAATCAGTAGAAAGGAAGAGAAAAAGCATTTAACCTTCCTCTCCCTGTCACTAATTTACAGTTGCATATGAAGCTGTTCTGTAGAACTTTGGTTTTTCATAAAAATAAAGTTCATTTCTTACTCTTCCAATTTTTAGTTTTTCAAATATTTGAGTTCCAGGCAATTAAACACCTTAAGAGAGCAGGATTTGGTAAAATCTACATGGTATTGTTTAAATCTTAATATCCCCAGAGAAACCCAAAGAGGATTCACTTTTCTGGAATGATATATTTTAGCATCTAAACTTCATTCATGTGAAACAAAACCTGACCTGAGTGCATAACTGGAAAAAACTCAACTTTACACAGACTAATTCAGTATGTAATTTTGTATTACACTGAAATTGGTGAAAATTATTGTTAGGAATTATTATCAAGAAAAAGTGTCCTACGAGTGGAAATACCTATTGGAATTGCAATTTTAACAAGTGTTAACAGGACTACCATATGTACTACTTCCACTAAAACTGGTACTACTTCTACTAAATCTGAAAAGACTGGTAATGGACTTCAGAAATTTTAATTTCAAAACTGCAAGCTGAAATTTGGCCTTGACTAGCAGTAACCATAGAAGTGTTCTTGTTTGCTGTATTATCCATCCAGAACAAGTTGGAATCTCAGTCCAATATTCTTCGAAACTAAAAGAATAGAATCTTAGTAAACGAGAACTGAATATAATTCTTGTTAGATACCCTATAATACAACTGCTATCTCTTCCTCCCTGACCATACAGTCAGGAAGGAATATACTTAATAATTTATATTATTTTACAGTATTATATACAAAGGCATAAAACTAGGTGTTGTCAATGGTAAAAAAGAAAATCTAAAAAATACTAAATTTCTTTCACATGCTTATCTTCACGTAGGTATATTTTTCTTCAATGCTTCTCTCTTTCTTTTTCTTAAATGAATTTGTGAGGTCTGAAATCAAGTTACGAGTTCCAGCTAAATCAGAAAAAAGACCAATGACTCTTTGTAACTCAGTTGAGCAATTCACAAGGCATTCTGAACTAGACGTAAAACCACGATGGAAAATCCTTCAAAACATCTCAAAACACCGGTGTGAGGAAAAGGCCTGTCATAAAATAAAATAAATTCAATATTTTTGAATGAATGCACAAATGCAGACTTGCCCACTTAGATTAATATTCAAGGTTAAAATTATTTAAATGCTTCCTTATTCCCTGCACTCTTTATTTATTTCCTTCTTAGGCAGCTGCAAGTTTTTTTTTGCACTCTTACAAGTCTTTCAAAATTTTTCAGAAAAATTCCATCCTTTTCAACTGTCATGAAAGGGACCTCAGTGGACTTTTGCCTACTGAATACATCTGCATGTACATCTCATGACTCGTGTTCCTGGTAAAATTACCTTGTGCAACCTTCCTCAACACAAGCTTTGACACAGCAATGGAACACATAGCTCAAAAAGACATAGCGTACCCAGTAAAGAATCAGTATTTCCTAGGATATTAAAAATTGTCTTGAAGTAGCAGGAACAATTCTCAGTTTCTTCTGTTGAGATTTAAGTTTCATTGTCACTGTATCAGCGTCTTTTTTGAAGCACCATCTGAAAGGCTCAAACTCACTCTATCAGTCAGATTTCCACATTTCTTTTGGGTTCAATTGCTTTTAGTACGATCTTAGACCCTCTTATTCTGGACACTAGAGTTAGTTTTGTTTACAGTAGAAAAGTGATGGACTCAATCTGAATTTCAGTGTTTGTCTGAGCTCTAGAAGAAAGAGTTGCAATAGTCTGCATCGCCAACTTTTTATCAGCACCTCTGACCCCCCAGATAGTTGTGTTTTTTTGGGTTTGTTTTTTTTTTTTTTTTTTTTAAAAAAAAAAAAAAAGCACACTTCTGACATCCTATTTAATAATCTTTAACATACAAAAACTTCAATGTTATATGTTTAAAAAGTGCTTTTGAAGTTTAATAACTTCTCATTCTGTAGTACAGCGCAGTTCTCTATTGCAGGGCTAAAACTTCCCTACTCCTGCCTGTCTCTCTTTAAAGCATACGACCTAAATGTGAATATTTTATAGCCAGTACTGAAGAATCAGGAAGGAAGCATGCAGGCAATCAGCATAAAGCAGCTTTTTCCAAAAACAATCTGGATGGATTTCCTTGAATTATGTCAAAGAACTAAACAATTTTTTAATGACACCTCCTATTTGCTTTCCTCTAAGAATGCTAGACAGGTAACAAACATACGCTGGACTTGCATGTGTTGTATTCATGGAATTAATACTGCCAATATGTTTTCAATATCTTGAAAATAATACTGGCAGAGGAAAATACTTGCAATTTTTATTTCTCTGAAATAATGAATGCAACACTCATGGAAATTGTACTTCATACAATAAAATTTCATCAAATCAGCTAAGATCAATGGACTCTGTTTTCTTCACATCAAAGGAAAGAGGAAAGACATTTTTTTCTTTTGTTCTTAACTGAAGTCAGTTGGAGCTTTACGACAAAACACAATAATAAAGAAGGGAAGGAAAAATTCCCCCTCTCCCATCATGACAGAAAAAGCAGCAGTTTGCAGAAAAAGTGCTTAGTACATATTTTACAGAAGAGAAAATTTATTCAAATTAAACATAATTTCAACATGTCTTCAAATTAACTTAAAGAAATATCAATGTTTCTACATGAAGTTCTGTATTACATAATACTACAGCTCAAACTCTAGTGGCACTTAAACCAGGGAATTAATAATATAAATGCTTCTCACTGTTTTTAACTATTCTACTGCAGAACAGTCAGCTACGTAGTATATACATTACGGAAATACCACATAAGCTCTTTTATATTCAAATGCAATTCATTTCTGAAGTAGTCTTAATTTTCATTTCAGTTATATTCTAGTTCCCACTTCTGCAGCACAAATGTCTATGCAGCCTACAGGATATACTAATGTAACATCCTTACATCAAATTAACTTTCTGTTAGAGTAAATGCTGTAATTACACATTCCAGTGTACAATTCACACACTTTCACCTGGATTTAGTCAAGTTTCTTTTTTTTTTTTTTTTTTTTTTTTTTTTTTTTTTTTTTTTTTATGCTGAGCCCTATTTTCACATATGTGACTAGTTCATAAAAGGATAGCTAGCAGTGTAGACACAGAAAAATACAGTTCCGAATTACATTTTGTAGAGCACATGAAAAGGACAGCAGCATTCCCAGGCAGCTGAATAAAAGAGCAAAATAGAATCTTCAATACATGAAACTTACTTTTCAGTGGGCAAAATCCATATCTCCTGTCAACATCATAGTCTGCAGTGGTTCCACACCAGAACCAGCCATCTGCTCTGCCAGCATCTGTGCAGTCAGCATACCACTTATTACCAAATTTAAAAGGGAATACACAAGGTGCTCCCTCAGCATTTCCTCTCACTGTGTAGGTATCTAAGGAGATATGACAGTTTAAAAAAAAAATGTGTAAGTGGTAATTTGCATGGGATATACGTCAATCTAGTTTTATGTTCATATTGGAGTAAGGACAGTTTGCTAGCTTAGTATACAATATGCATTATACATGGAATGCTGATAATTTTCAATCTGTAGGTGTTATCTGTTACCCATTGCCACAACTAGACCAATTTTCATCGCTTAAAGCAGACCACTGGCCAGAAAAGGAGACTACTGACCAGAACTGACTGAGCCAAGACAAATGTATTCCCATGCTAAATTTTACATGCATAGCAATCAAAAGTACAAAATCCATTAAATGAAGCAATTTGCTTTTTAGGCCCACACAATCACTGATTCTTCTGTTGATAACTCAATTCTGAACATTTTAAACACTATGTCACGTAGGTATAAACCTGAAAGCTACACCAGAGAGTATCTTCTTTATGCTATATTCAAATAAAAGCCTTTGATCCAGAGCAATAATACTGTACTTATTCTTTGTATAAACCCTAGAAAATGGATCATTCCCTCTCTCTGCCAAAATGCCATCATATCTGTGTGTATATACGTGCATTTTCAAATTTAACTATTTAAAATATCTAATTTACTTATTTAACACTTCAGCACCAGCTCTCAGAGGAATGTCAAACATCTAGAAATGTTTGCACCATCAATATACTGCAGCTGAAGATATCAAGAGTTAACTGAATCCTTAATGAAAAAAATCATATTTTCTCCCTAGGGATGGAGTGGCAGAGAAGAGGTGAACATAATCAACAGAACACTCTTTGTCTTTCTGTACATATGTAAAAAATCAAAAATATCATTAACTGCTGCATAATAATTGTATGCATGTTCTGAACAACCAAAGACTTTCCTCTCCTTTCAAATGACTCACTGTCCTTTGCCTTGCATGCTTAATTATCTAATTTTAATGATCATACCTCTGACAAAAAAGCAAAATGAACCCCACAGAAACATAAAATACACTCAAGTACTATAGGTTTTATCAAAGTCCACACTCGCTGATCACTAAGATCACCAAGATCACCAAGAATTACTAAGGTAATTCTCCTACGTATCTCCTGTATCGCAATTAGATACACACAGCAGCCAGTTCAAAATACAGAAATTAATTTATAGAACTTTACCTTCATAGCCTCGAGAACACAGATCGTCTTTAGTTCCGTAGACTTTCCACCTACTCCATAAACCAGATCCCTTGTAAAGCATAATATTCCTTTCCTGTCTGTTTCCATAGTTGAAAAACAAATCTTCCCCTTGGATTGCAAAGAGAGTCTCATTTCTGCATTCCCATCGCTGAAGTTCGCTAGCCTTGTCACAAGGATACAGAGTGATCGGAACCCAGTCTTTCTTCGAAGGTACTCCCAAGCACAATTTGAATGCTATGCTCATAAGCTGGTGATCTGAAACCCACCTGAATTTTTGAGACTCATTTTCTTGAACACAAGGAGCAGTAGTCACTGAGTTAGAACTCTGAGCCAATACACAGCGCTTGTGTTCTTCATTATATATTAAAAAGATGCTAGTATCTGCAAGACAAAAAACAATGGAATCACTTGGCTTGAAATAATCTTACTTACTATCTAAATGAAGTACGAGACTAGATGCTACTCTTGGGGTTGAAATCTCATCATCTGTTCAGCAAAAGAGGACGGGATCCTCCCGTGGTCTACAGCTGTTAAAGTGACTGTAGAATACAACTAGTTCAGATTTCAGGACATTTAAACTATTTTGCATCAAAGGAAGAACCTACACTAAAAACAGCAAGGCTGTAGAAACAGATCTAGTGCCTCATGCAGCTTTAAAACATAGAATAAACTGAGGAAAAAGGCCCAATCGTAGTTCTGTTCCAAACTGCACCCATGAGAGTCAGGGAGAACGGGGAGCATGCACACCATGTGCTGCAGGGCTGGAGGCTGAGCGCTCCAGCAGCTCTGCTTCCTTGATCCTGACTCCCGTTGTGAGGACTACAGAGTAAGATCTTCAGGCTCTGTTTCTCCATAATGGACAGATCTGCTTTCATCATTTCTGCTGAATTCCCTGAAGTCTTACAGAATGGGAAAGATTTTTATTTTTTTTTTCTCCTAATTTACCTTTACACATAAACTACTTGCAGGGTTACAATAGCATCATCATTTTTCTCTCAGCTGCATTCATTGGTGATTTCCTCCTTTCTTACATTTTTCCACTAAGAATGAAATACTGACAACAGTGGGATTTGCCATCAACTCTTAGTGCCTCTTAGTGACCAAGGAAAATTCATGAGACTGTTTATAGCTCCCAAAGTTATTTCTCCTTCTTAGTACAATGTACTTAACAACATGCATTTATCCGTTTTGTTTCAAACTTGCAATCACTAAAGAAGTTCCTAGCATTTCTTATATGACCTGGATCTACTGCATGGTAAACATGAACTGTTCTCATCCAGAGACTGAGAATTTTTCCTTCTCCTTTGGTCCTCTTGAGATATGTTTTAGGATGATAAATTAATAGTTCTCTAACGCTGCATCTCATAATTTAACAGGTTGATCAAGGCCTTAAAAATGTATTTTAAGTGAGCTACAAGCAAGGGAAGATAAGTACTTATTTATGTTAGTCTGGGATTAAAGCTAATTAAAACACTATTTATTTTAGCATTAGATTACCAAAGTAAGCAAGTTATACAATGCAAAAATACGTAAGGGGAAAACAGATTAACCACAAAACATTTTCCCTTTTCTGCTGATATGGAAATGATCATAAATTACTACAGAAGAAGCTGGGAACAAATAGCCTCTATCTCAGAGAAAGAGCTGACCTAAACTTATCTCACCCATGGGTCAGTTTCCTTCTCCTGTCCTCTGGCTTCCAGTTCACAGGGAAGCATATAAAACTGATGAGCACTGGAGGCACAAATTGTTCCCTTTTGCCAATCAGTTTTACTCATAGACAATACAAGGAAATATATAATTGTCGCTGCTGGTGATAACTTTTTAATCTGCTTTTCTACCAGCGTTTAGCACAACGATACATGCAATGCTTGCAACTCTCCTTTTCCTGAAATCTTACTTAAAGTTTCCGGTTAAAAGAAAACATCAGACTTTTTCATAAGTGTGAAAAATACCGCCTGATCTTTTAAACTGCTAAAATTGTACTTCTGGCCTAATGCAACATTACATATTTTATGCACTTACGGTCTTACAGAGAGGGTGCTAGACACATGAAAAAACGTAGTCCCAAGTCAAAAGTCTGGGCTGCTCAGCCAAGCCAAAAGCAGAGTGGAGGTTTTGTTTGCAGAAACAATGCCAGAAAGTTGAATAAAGAGATGAGGCTAGGGGAAGAAAAGTAAATCTTCGGTCCTCTACATTTTAACTGTACCTTTACAAGGCATTAGCAGCACAATGCAGCAGCTTATACAAGTAGGTATTGAAAATAAGTTGGCACCCAAACAGGAGGGAAGAACGAGGCAAAAGGACACAACTGTGACAGACTGCAGAATTCCCTTTCACTCATAGTCACTCCTGTCATATCCATCACCATGCAGATGACTTGTACCATGGGCCTAGGCTGCTCCAGTTTACAGCCATACTTCTGTGTCTATTTGAACACCAATATAGATTCCCATATAACACTTTCCTTGTGAGATGTAAGGGAGATATTAGAGAGACTAGACGAACATTTAAAAAGTCAGGTATCTGTGCAACACTCATTATACCCTGCCACCACTTCTCTAACCACTTGATATCACTTCTTGCTAACAGATTGAGCTGCATCTGTCAAATGAGCTGAGCAAAATTATTCAGTTACGTAATTGATAACCAGCAACTAATTCAGAGTCTTAAGCAAACTAACATCTTACCTAGGGAAGGTTGCTTTTTCTAGATAAGCAGGACACTTAGAATCTAGAAGCAGAGTCTCAACATTCACAAGTGAAGAAGTACACTGTGCTCCACAAGGGTTGATAGCATTAGCTACCATAAGGTCAAAACAATAATTACAAACTTAGTCAGCAGCCAATTTCTATAAATAATACCTTGAGCAAATAAGGGACCAAGCCTACTAAGCATATGAACTTTTGGCCAGATAGCATCTCCCAGTGGAACCCAACCACCACCAAAGATCCGTTAAAAGAACTCCATAATACATAGTGCATGCATAGCACTGGGTTTTAACGTGTATAGCAATTCTCAGAATAAGCAGGCACTTTGCAGAAAACGTATGAATATTCACATGCTAAGCGTGAGTGTGTGTGCGTGTGCACTTTAACTCCTACATGTGCATGCTAGGAGGAGAGATTTCCCCCATGCAATGAGTACTGCAGTAAAGTAATGTCAGCTTTCTAACATGTCATTTATGTTGGTAAGCCTTATTCTCAGATTTCAGTGACATAACCATGTGTTCTATCACTATGTAGTAAAAATATTTGCTTTAGAACTCTCATTCTTCACTACAGATCAGCTACAGAAGGTACATAGGAAGGTCCTCCACAGCATCACCCCAAGTAACACAGTCCCAGTACAGTTTTTAAGGGAGTAACCCATAATGAAAGTTTCAAAATTTACTTCTGGAAGGAGGTCCTTTAGAACTCATAGGAAGCTTCCAGGCATAGGAACCAACCACTAGAACTGTACTGGGTCTGACTGGACTGGAATTAACTTTCTCCACAGCAGCCCATACAGTGTTGTGCTTTGCACTTGTAGCTAGAATGGTGCTGATATTGCACTAATGTTTGAGCAGCTGCTGAGCAGTGGTTGTGCAGCATCAAGGCTGTGTTAACAGCCTGAGCCCCCAAAGGTCAGGTGGCTGGGGATAGGCACTTGGATGGGAAGGGGGCACAGCCAGGACAGTGAACCTGAACTGACGAAAGGAATATTCCATAGCAGATGAGATCGTGCTTAGCAGTAAAAGCTTCAGGAGGAGGCTGCTCTAGAAGTTGGCCAGATATCCCCACACCCAGTTCCCCTGAGGACTGGGACAAGAGAGCAGCGATGCAGTACTTAAGTATCTGTCAACGCTAAACCAAAACGATAACCAATCCAGAGACATGTAGCATCTTTTCCTTTAGCTGTCCCAAGCAAATCCTGATAGATTTTTTCTCACTAGTTTTTATTTTTCTTTACCCATCATGCTAACGATTTGCCTATTGCCAGCCGCAGAAAGATTGTGACAAGTATCTTTTGTAGAGATTACATTTTAGGAGTTCCAGTATGCAAAAACAACTTTGGACTTTGCAGTACACGCAAGCTATCATAGATTACACGAGTGGAGATCAGAAAGTGGCTCATGAAGTCAGAGAAACACTAACAGCATCAAAGGCCAACACAGAATACCCCAGCAGCACACCAAAAGCCAAAGGAAGGGAGAGGGGAAGCAAGGAGGCAGCCAGCAGGATGACTTCTCTTAGCAGACAGCCTGCAATGACTGTAGCTAACTACACAGAACAAGAAGGGTTACAAGCTGGTGTTACGAAACTGTGCTCCAGTAAACCTCAACCTTGACTACGGAGGATGCTGAGGAATGGCAGATGCAAAACTTTCCCTGTATGAAAACAGTGCGCTAGAAATCAGAGCAATTGTCATGTGCAAGCTCCAGCTTTCAACCATAGACCCTATGACAATGCCAACGTTCCCAGGACAGACTGGTTTGGAGCACCCTAGGATGCCAAAACCCAAAGGGCCCCCGCATGGGGCAACTTCAGCCATGCATCAGCTCAGCTGGGGCAGGGCGCTGCGGGAGGGCGGGCTGCCCTCAGGGTAACGTGGCTGCGGGCTGCCCCCCGACCCTGGGGCTCCTCTCCACCTGCGTGCCGGCTTGCCCCCTCCACGTGCGCGCGCACACGCGCACACACACACACACACCGCCTCAGGTCAGCCGGGGCTCGGAGACCCCGCTGTCTTCCCGGCGTGCCGTGCACAGTCCCTGCGGGCACTTACCCAGCAGCGGAAAAGCGCCGGGGAGAAAGGCGAGGAGCAGCAGGAGCGGGGCGGGAGCCATCGCCGCTGTGAGGACAGGAGCCCGCCGGGCAGCTCCGCCGCACTTGTGAAGGGCCGGTGGATCGGGGGAAAGCTCTGGGCTCGAAACGATAAGGAAATATCCTGTCACATGGGGTGCTTAGAAATAACAGGAATTCGCTGTTCAAACTTTGCTTTCCTAAGCTGATTTTCCTCAGCGGAGGGAAGAGCCTCCTTCCAGGCACACGCAGGTGATAACGTGGTGATGGCTGAGAGGCGCGCCGGGCTGTTTTCCGCTGTTCTTTTTTTATCCCCTTTGCGACCCTGTCAGCGTCGCACGTGGGTCGGCGCTCACTTTTCCAAGAAAACGAGCCCTGCAGAGGGCGAGGAAGGACGGCAGGCTCCGACCTGCCCGCGCGGGACAGCGCTCCGCCCGCACCGCCACAGCCGCGCTCCTCCGCGCTGCGGGACGAGGGGAGACCTACTAATAGGAAACCAGGCTTTGGGCCGTGCGCCGTCGCTCCTCCCCCCAGGAGCAGGTGGAAGGTCCCGGCGGGAAGGAAGGGAGCAGAGAAAGCATCGCTTCCCCAGACGAGTGTACCAGCTTTCCGCTAAGATGTGCCAATTTAAGTATCGTTCTGAAGCGGTGCCTTTAAAGCACAGCCGGCGTGGAGGTCTCGCAGCCCGGGGAGACCTCAGCAAATGCCTCCCGTTTTGGGGGGAGCAACACGGCATTGCTTAGAGCCTGAAGTCGGAACGCGGGCTGACGGGTCACAGGTGGATGGAGAGCATCAATCTTACTGCTGTTGTATATACAAAGGCTTTTGTAAAGTTTACTGAGTACAGTAACACCGCAGATGCAGCCTGATGGATTTCAGAAGCACTTACCCATGTACGTGATGTGTCCTCTGCTGTCATTCTCGTACCGCCAGGCATTTGGAAATTTCTGGTACGTACAAGAAAACTTCAAAAGCCTCCTTAAAGCTTCTGAGTGGAAAAATAGAGCAAGCACCCATGTGAGCTAATTATGCAAGGAGACAGGTCAGAGTGAGTAAAATACTTTTACAGTGTCATTACAAAAGAAACAACGGAGAAAAAATCCAAGCTCATTTGAACTCCACAGCAAGGCTCTCAGTAACATAAGTAGGGAGGCCAGCCAGCCAACTCAGCCATGCTGAACTCTTCTGTGGACAACTCACAGGGAGTAAAAGAGGACGCTTTTCACAATTTCTTGTGACATCTGGATACACATAAAAGTCATGCAGAGCGTGGCCTAAAAACAGGAGGTGGAAAGCAGAGTTCTGTGTCATTATGTCAGTGGATTCTCACCTGGGAAACTTCAACCTGCAACTGATACAAATTCTCTTGCTGCAGTAGATAGCATCTATTTATTATTCTCTAACTGCCTAGAACGACCTTATGCTGAACTAATGAAAGACCCAAGTACTTCCACTGAGGAGATATAGCTAACTCAAATAATCATAGTACAACTTGAAAATGAAGAATTGCCCTGTGTTCTAACATTGCCACCTTAGCAACATCCAGGCATTCAAAGTACATTTGAAAAATGCTTTTAGAGGGGAAAAAAAATATTTTAAGTTGCCTTAAGATCTGTTTACAAGCTTATTTTAATAACAGCAATAACTGGAACCCAAGAAAAGCATATAGTGCCAGAAGGAACAAGTCACAAGATGGAGAGCGAATATTGCCTTCCTGATAGAATAATGGTATTTGTTAGACCATAACCCACACTTTGGGGAATCCTTGGTATTCTCTAGGCCAAAAAAATCATAGAATCGCTCAGTTTGGAGAAAACCTCAAAATCATCAAGCCCAACCACAACCTGACCGTACTACCCTAACAACCCTCCACTAAATCATGTCCTCAGCACCACATCCAAACGGTTTTTAAACACATCCAGGGATGGTGACTCAACCACCTCCCAGGAGAGCTTATTCCAGTGTTTAACACCCTTTCTGTAAAGAGGTTTTTCCTGATATCCAACCTAAACTTACCCTGGTTCAACTTAAGGCTGTTTCCCCTCATCCTGTCAGCAGTGAGAAGAGACCAACCCTGCTCTTGCTGTAAGCACCTTTCAGATATTGGAAGAAAGCAGTAAGGTCTCCCCTCAACCTCCTTTTCCCCAGACTAAACAGCCTCAGTAAAGAGCAGTAAACAGCAAAGGGACACAATATGCAAAGTTTAGTCTCAATATAATTAAAGTCTTTAGATTAAAAAAAAAAAAAAAAAAAAAAAGGGGGGGGGGGGGGGGCTGCACATAAGTATCAACATGTCTCGCAAATAGGCAGGAAAATGGTAGTAAGTAGCATTCCATATCTGACAGCGAGTGGCCATGCCAGGAATGAGGTGTGCATGGAAAACAACAGACCGCATTCGGCCACTCTTGAAGGTTCCCAGGGCTCAACTGAACAAGCGCTTAACAACATGATGCAGTTTTCAAATTAGTCATGCCTCAAGAAGGGAATCATACTAGATGGCTTCCTGAGATCCAACCATGAGACATTAGAAAAGCTCCTACTAAGTCTGGAATTCCAGTTATTCTTGGGATCTTCACCTCAGCAAATTACTTCTTCTCCTGATTCTCCAAAAAAGCCTTTTTCTCATTGCCTCTTGCACACACTGGAGGTACTGCCACTTCAAAGTCATTCCGAAGGTGGTACATGTATATATAAATGCAGACATATACACACAATCGTATATATGCCTTGGTGATCTGGATGAGTTTATTCACTCAAATCTCTATGTATCATCTGCAGCATACTGCTCAACAATAAAGTCTGAGTCTGGCTTGCTCCTTGGGAATCATCGTACAACTACATATACACATTGTATACTCTCCAAGGGAAAGAATTTATCTCCTAGAGGACAACAGGATTCAGTAGTCTCAGGCTACAGAGAATTGCAGGCAAATAGTCACTAAATTGGATAATTCAATCTGCTAAATAACTAATGACAGGATACTACTTAAACATGCCCTAGCTAGACATATGTTTTCATCTTTCTCTGCGGGTAGCAAGCCAGCTGTCGTTTACATTTGGAACAGAAAGGCCTAGATTTCTCTGAAACAGGTCTGACCCTCTCCAGTTCTGGCACAGCCAGTACTTGCAACTGGTGACTGTTCCTGGCAAAATACCCTGAAAATGTGAAGTCACAGTAGCTCTTGATTTTTGATAGTCAACAGGAAGATGGAAAGTTCTATCTAAATGAAATCATATCCAGACCTGAAATATAATAACCCTTCTTCTGTTTGTTGTTTCACATATGCATCCAAGATTTTTTTTTTGACGTTTCACGTATGTTTCTGTTTCTCTTAGATGGCATTCAGTAGTTCTTTGTGCATTTCTAACATTTGCTTTGTCATTTATGCTTTTTGCTCTTAAGTATATCTTTAGTATATCTGCTTACATGTTAACATTTGTGATAACATCATTTATCACAGTGCCTGTCCTATATTAATAAGCTATATAAATAAGATATGGGGCAGTGAAAAAAAAAAAAAAAAAACAGGAATTGGCAAAATCAATATTTAATTTTTGTACAAATCTTATTCCTCTGAAATGTTATTCGGAAATTGATTTTGACACTTACAATTTCTGAAACCAAAACAGAATGTTTTAGGAGGTGTAAAGTCAAGGCTTTAATACCTGTTGTCAGACAGCCTTCACCTAGTAAAAGCCTCTTGAGAATACCAATATTATTATGTATGATATTCACTTTAAATACAACTAATTCAGACATGTTTCTGTCTATATATATATATCTGTCTATATATATAATATATATATATATATATATACATACATATCAAAATTCTGAATTCCAGCATTCTGCTTTTAACACAAAGTAAGAACACAAGAATATCACTTTCCCCTGCATACGTTATAATAGCTTCATAAACATGCATGGCTATTGGGAACGTGCACTCTCATGACTCCTAACATGTCAAGTTTGGTTTATGCCTCACCCATATTATGAAAATAAAGAGGAATTTCCACACCCTCACATATCTGGTTCCTTACAGCTACAAAAAAGTGTTGCCTGCATAGTTAAAAGCCACGATAAATGCAGCCAGAAGTTAACAGATGTTTAAGGAAAATAAAGGAGTTCCAGATGGTTTTTTGCTTTCTATCATCATAGATTCTCAAGAGGCAAAGTACATCAGACCCACGGCTGTAAAACTTCTAGTACATCTAAACAGATTACTTTCTTTGATTCTAATTTCATTTTCCAGGGTATTCTGTTATGTCAGAGATACAGCTAGACATTGGATTGCAAGGACGGGACAGTTTGGTCCAAAGTACAGGTAGGAGGCCCTTAGTTATATATAAGGTGAACACATCTTCAAATCAGCCTATTAGGAGTCTTTTGAACACAGCCAAGACAGATCCACTTGGAAAAGAACTCTCTCTCTTAAACAAGACATCACTTCAGTGTATACTTTTTTTTTTTTTAAATCTCAAAAACAGAAACTTCATAAGACATACATATTTCATAAAAAGACTGCAAAGAAAGACAGCCTGTTTAGAACCAAGAAGGAACATAGCCTTAAATTGGACCACGTTCTATTTACTCATCTCAATTAAACAGAATCCAAACATACCAAAGATTTTTCTGTTGAATTTTTGCACATGCACTCAGAGGCCTTTCAGCATTAAGACACTGATGTCTGGAAGTTCTGCAACCTGCTGATGACTTCTCTCCTACTTATTTCTTTCTGTATTTTTCTCTCAAATGCTTGATAAAGCCATAGGCTGCCATTTCTAATTTATTTAAGTGCCAAAAGTCTTTTAGTAAAACTACTTTTTAATTAACAAATTGAATACACATTTTTAATCCCTTCTTAACTTTACAAGTACACCAGTGATCTCCACAAGTTTTCTTTGTGCATAATACCACATGCAGTTGAAGAGTCAAAGTTCAGTATAATTTGGAACTCAGTAGGAGCTGAGCAGAGCACAGCTTGAAGTTAATACAATGCCATAACATTTTGATAGTAGTTTCTGCCTTTGTATTGTAAACTCCATTCTAGTTATTTACCATGGATGAAAAGAAACACAGCAGAAATGTGGCAGATCACACATGGAACTAAGACCTTCAAAAAGGATGAGAAAGTCTTCCTTACCAGGAAATTCTCTTTACAGAAATGAAACACAGAAGTGGAAATATAATACAGAAAACTAAAAGAATAAATACAGCTGC